TCCTCCCATAATGCGACTGACCCTGAGTGGCGAACATTTAGCCAATCGATGTCTTGCGCCAAAACAATCCAGGACAAGAAATCAAACTATGAAAGGCTGCGTGTGGGGGGAAAAAAATCCGTTCAAGTTTCCGTGATGATACCATATTTCAGAGATCTTACCTGGCATCGGATGTTGTAAATATGGCGGATTTACCGGCTGCGGCTTGAAAGGTATTTCACAAGTCCGGAGGGAAGTTATCTCTAGCCCCACTCCGTTCCCACTCCAGGTGGTCCAGGGTCAGATAACATGCGCTGCTTGCACCGCCAATAAAACCGTCATCTAATCGCGCGTGGCTCAAACGTGTCACCGGATGTGCGTACTGAACGTCGCTGTAGGCTGCAGGGCCGCCTCCCGTCATAGAGTGGTAGCTGAGAAGGCCTACCGGCAGAGAGGGTGATGAAGGCCGCCGGGCCGCCTCCCCGTTACAGTGTGATGGTTGAGGAGGAGGCCCACTGGCAGGGTGGGTGATGAAAGCCGCCGGGCCGCCTCCCCGTTACAGGGTGATGGTTGAGGAGGAGGCCCACTGGCAGGGTGGGTGATGAAAGCCGCCGGGGCCGCCTCCCCGTTACTGGGTGATGGTTGAGGAGGAGGCCCACTGGCAGGGTGGGTGATGAAAGCCGCCGGGCCGCCTCCCCGTTACAGGGTGATGGTTGAGGAGGAGGCCCACTGGCAGGGTGGGTGATGAAAGCCGCCGGGCCGCCTCCCCGTTACTGGGTGATGGTTGAGGAGGAGGCCCACTGGCAGGGTGGGTGTGATGTGATGAAAGCCGCCGGGCCGCCTCCCCGTTACAGGGTGATGGTTGAGGAGGTAGGCCCCACTGGCAGGGTGGTGTTGATGAAAGGCCGCCGGGCCGCCTCCCCGTTTACAGGTGATGGTAGTTGAGGAGGAGGCCCCACCTGGCAGGGTGGGTGATTGATGAAAGCCGCCGGGCCCCGCCTCCCCGTTACAGTGTGATGGTTGAGGAGGAGAGGCCAACTGGCAGGGTGGGTGATTGAAAGCCGCCGGGCCGCCTCCCCGTTACAGGGTGATGGTTGAGGAGGAGGCCCACTGGCAGGGTGGGTGATGAAAGCCGCCGGGCCGCCTCCCCGTTACTGGGTGATGGTTGAGGAGGAGGCCCACTGGCAGGGTGGGGTGATGAAAGCCGCCGGGCCGCCTCCCCGTTACAGGGTGATGGTTGAGGAGGAGGCCCACTGGCAGGGTGGGTGATGAAAGCCGCCGGGCCGCCTCCCCGTTACTGGGTGATGGTTGAGGAGGAGGCCCACTGGCAGGGTGGGTGATGAAAGCCGCCGGGCCGCCTCCCCGTTACAGGGTGATGGTTGAGGAGGAGGCCCACTGGCAGGGTGGGTGATGAAAGCCGCCGGGCCGCCTCCCCGTTACAGGGTGATGGTTCAGGAGAAGGCCCGCTGGCAGGGTGGGTGATGAAAGCCGCCGGGCCGCCTCCCCGTTACAGGGTGATCACCGAGGAGAAGGCCCACCGCCAGGAGCTGAGCCACCTCAAGATCAAGCACGACTCAGGCCTCTCCATCATGAAGGACGAGCTACACAGCCTGAACCAGCAGGTCAGCAAGTACAAGCGTGAGCGCGACACCTACAAGTCGATGCTGGAGGGAGCGCAGCGCACCATCGGCGACCTCAAGCGGAAGAGCCGGTCGGCAGACGGAGATGGGGACGCCGCCGGAGCCGTCGACGTAAGTAGCGACACGGGTCACGGGTCGGGGTCGCACGGCACGTGGCGTCAGATGGGCTGCAGAGCCCAATGGCACGCAACGTGCCGGGCAGTGTGTGTGATCGCCGAATTTGCCAAAAATTGGCGACGTGTTCCCCCATTTTTCATCAGGGATAATGACCGTGTTGTTGAGTGAGGGGGGCTAGATATTTAGGAGCTGTAACTGGGGGGCATGTATGCACGATATATGGTTTACTTCATTCACTGAGAGAAGTGTAAATTGAGGGCTGAAATAGACACAACATGCCTAGTGACGCGCCGCTTTTTTGTTTTTGTTTTTGTTTCTGTTTCCATATGCTCGGGTTAACATTGACCTGAGAATTGTTGGGTATAAATACGCACCAATCAAGGTGATGAAAAGGATCGATCAAAAGCTGTCGTAACTAGAGAATCGATTTGATTCAGCCCCACTAGACACTGTCTGCATTATATACTGGAGACCAACCAGCGGGTACGGAGGTTAACTGCTGACCACTGTCTGCACCAGATGTTCGAGACGAACCAGCGGGTGCGGGAGCTGACGCTCCAGCTGACCAGCCTGGAGGATCAACTGTCGGCGGCCCGGCTGGAGGCCAGCAAGTTGCGCACGGAGACCACCACCGAGCGCTCGTGCTGGGAGATCCGCGTCCACGACCTACAGACCAAGATAAACGAGGTGGGCAAGACTCCGTGTGTCCCGACCCCTACCGAGGTCGGGACACACGGAGCACTGGCCAGAACGCTTATCCGCTTCTCTGAACGTTTGTAATGGTTGTCGGCCTCGCAGGATTTGGCCAGACTGCTTAAAGTCGGCGAGATTATGATAACCGACGAAGTTGTGGCTGTGTGGAACTCATTTACGACCGAATGATAGAGATGTTTGCCAACATGTTACCGTAGCATAAATGTGAGTGCTTACTGATATGATGAAGGTGTCATCGCTACGTGTATGCACACGTCCTTCATCTCATATGAAACCAATGTTAAACAATGACTGTCTCTCAGAGTCGGAAACTTAGCGGGCCGCACTGGTGCCTGGCTTTGGGTACAGTGAAATGATGAGATCATCTCAAGTGCCGTTGCGATGCCGGGGGTCCGGCTGACGACATAGAGTCCGGCTGAGGGCGGGAATTTCGGGGAACGGCAGGGAGCCCGGCTGAGGATAGATAGTACAGGTGGTGGCAGGGCGTCTGGCTGAGGACAGATAGTACAGGCGGCGGCAGGGAGTCTGGCTGAGGGCAGGGAGTTCGGGTGGTTAGCGGCAGGGAGCCAGGCTGAAGGCAGGGAGTTCGGGTAGCGGCAGGGAGCCGGCTGAGGGCAGGGAGTACGGACGGCGGCAGGGAGTCTGGCGGAGGGCGTGCTGTCGATCCGGCCGTGCGTTGACCGGCCTTGTCGCGCCTGCAGTTGGAGGAGGAGAAGATCATGTCCTCGGGTCACTCGCGCATCTCGGGCATCCGCGCCCGCATGGAGCTGGCCTGGGGGAAGGAGCGTTCCGAGCACCAGCGACTCATCCAGGAGACATCCAAGCTGGCTGAGGATCTGAAGAACACGCTGCACGAGGTGAACAAGAGCCCAGTGCCAATCCCGTCCTTTTTGTCTCCCTGTCTTGCTGTTGGGCGGAGACAACGGAAGTACAATACGCCGTCATGCAGCCGTCGGTCATTCCGTCCAGCTGGTCATTCTGTCTCGACATCCAAACACGCCGTATCGGGTGTGACCACGTCTCTAACTCTGGTCAGTGTGTGGAGGTGACCGATCGCGACGCCATACCTCAGTAGTGAGCTGCCTGGCTTACTACTCGAATGTTGTGCGTTCGCGGTTCGCACCGACTTGCTTTGGCACAGTTAGCTCTGCTAGTTTCAACGCCAGTTACCTTGACAGTTACCTGAGCGTTGTTAAACCGGGGAGTTAGATGTTATTGTGTTAGTGGGTACCCACTTGCTGCGAATGTCTGGTGTAGCCAACCAAAATATTCAAGTAAGTGCGCTCTACAGGTTGAACGGCAATTAGAAAACGAACGAGCCGAAGCTAAGAGGAAGGTCGAGCAAGTAAAGAGATCGATGGAAGACGAAACGTCCGACACAAGAAAGAAGGCCAAGGAGGTAAAGCAGTGCTATGTCCTGTTGTCCGGCTTTCTCGCACTACTTGACCCCCGATTTAGCGGCCTTACTTTGGAAAAGATTTACTGCTTGTATTGCTAGCAGCTTGAAACGCCTCATTAGACGGTTAAGGATACCTGCGCGACCGCCAATGCAGTGAGTTACGCCAGTCTGACCTTGTAACGGCTCTGCTGGCACTAGGTCTGTCGGCCTATACAGCACGGAAAGTGTTAAGTGTGCAGATGTACGCCACAAAATTGGGCTAGTTCATGCAACATTGGCATTTGCTATCGGTGTAATCTGTATGCAACTCATGCGGTTCTGATCGATCGTTTTCTTTCTGCACCATTTTTTCTACGATTTGCGTGCCGTTCTCACAAAAAACATGTATTATTGCCGTGTACTGTTATTAAAGACCTACATGGCACTTCATCTTTTCGGCCTTGACCTTTCAGTTTGAAGGATGCTCCGTTTATTTCACGGCTGCACTGTTCTGCCCAAGGCCGCTGGATTTATATGCCGTTGCTAAGTCTTGGTGAACCTGCAGTGGACAGATGCCTACACTCGCCACACGTGCAGCGCAGCCGTGTTTTCGCTGCCCTCCCCCCCCCCCCCCCCCTCCCTCCCAACCCGATCTGCCGAGAGAGGGTCACGGCCCACTGTCTATCGCGTGTAAACGTAGAGGAGCCAGCTCAGACACGGCCCGGCTGTCCGCCCCGAGGTGTGCTCGGTTTTGGTGAGACTGGTGACGTGCTCCACCGGGGCGTACAGTCCGCTCGTGGGGAGGCAGGCCGGTGACGCCAGCGCGTGGTCACCCTCTGACGGGCTCGGTCAGACAGGTGCGCCGTCCGAGTCCGCCGTGTGCGCCGGCGGTCGCATGCAGTCGCACTCGCTGCCACCGGCACCCTATGCTGCACAGGACGTCGCACATGTCGTTGGGATCGGAGATCTGCTCCGGCTGTGGTGGAGAACCGGGTCGGTTTTGCGGGAGCGAGGACCTCTCGCAGTCGTCCTGACGGGCCCCACGCCGGCTGGCGACCGCGCTGGTTGCGAGGCGGGGATAGCAGTCGCTCTTGCAGTGTGGCGCACAACGTTGGCGGCCCGCTTCTGTCTGACGCTCTCCGTTGGAATCTGACTGCACCGGCGGTGCCGTTTCCTTTCCGATTGATCTTCGCCCGCGGGCATGGGCAGAGCGGATGCAGGCACGAGTAGCCGCTCCGCTCGCAGTACCGCGACAGCGCTTGTGGCGTCCGAGACGGCGGTCCTGAGCAGCGCCAGCCGCAGCGACACGCCAGCCGGCCAGCGCCGGGCCTCCCCAGGCAGCGTTATGCTGCGGAACCAGTCCCACCGGCAGAGGGCCGAGCGGCAGCGGCTGCTGGCGGCGGGCGCGCTCGCGACAGGGGAGTCGGTTCTGAGTCCGCCGACCCCGGCGAACGCCACGCTGGAGCCCGACAGCACCAGCAGCACAGCGCACAGCAAGTGCACAAGTGACATGCCTGAAAATGTGCAGCTGAGTTAGACTGGCGAGAAGGGTGGGAGAACGTCATCCAGGTTCTGCCAGCAATTTCAGGCAGTGTTTGACAATGCAGCTGTGACGATACGACCGTGAGTTAAGGATGCTGTGATTCCATCCTAATGATGTGAATACCTCGCCGTCTTACTTTTGAGCGCCGCTGTCTCCGAGCTTTGAGTGTTGGCCGCTTGTTGACCTGTCCTCGGTCGCACGACCGTCTCCGCCTGCCGAGACGCGCAGGGGCGTGTGGAGAGGCAGAGAGGCTGGCGTGTGCTGAGCTGTGCACAGCACCGGCTCGCAGCGACTGCCGGCCGGATCTGGTGGGCAGTGGCACTGCACTGATGTCACCAGGCACACTGTCGATAGCTCGTGCAAACAGACAGCGCACCCCGACCCACGCCGGCTGACCGGAGAGGGCCGGAGATAGCGGTGGCGCCGCCGCTCCTTACCGGCCGCACCGGGCCGTGGGGACGCTACTCTAGCGGTGCATGTGTGGTGGCCCGGGCCAGACGGCCGGCTTCAAGCCGCCCACGCGTCGAGACGGCACCCCCACCCGCTGGCGCCGGCTCAGTCTGATAGCGCGTCTGAGGCACTTCCGTCGCTGCCGATGACAAACACTCAATATTTATCGGGCGCATCCCATGTCATTTACAATCAGGAACGGCTTTAGGGGTTAGACCAAACAATGCTAACTCAGTATCGTCTGTTGACAAAGTCGATATTCGAAAATAAGCCCGTTATCCTTTCAATAATCTATTGCAAGCGGTGGCTAGCAAAGCGAGTAAGGGGATGTGATTCCCCATAAACTCAAAGCATGACTGTGACACGGGAATATCGTTCTCGCTAGCATCTCATGAGCAAGCCATTTACGTCATGGCCTGTCAAGTGTTAACCATTGGTTTAAGACCCGTATGAAGGCACCAGAATAGAATTCATCAGTTAAGTATTTTATGTGGTCAAAAAAACCTCGACAAAACAAAAGTGCTGACAATCATTACCTGTTTAAAAGCACTCCATCTCAAACGCTACATGAAATCTGTTGAAACTCTCATCGTAGCCTCCGGTGCGAGACTGCAGTTTCATGCTGCAGTGGCGGGCCCCCACGCATCTTGTTAGTGCATACCCCGGCGCCTACTGCCAGAGTCTGGGCCAGTCTTGTAGCACCGCCCCAGCACTCACGCTGCCCTGAACCTCCTGCCCGGTGCCCGCTGGCACCGTATGGTGCCAGTCTTGTAGCACCGCCCCAGCACTCACGCTGCCCTAAGCCTCTTACTATCCTGACTGTCAAGCTATTTCGACTCTTACGCTACCCTGACCACGGCGCCGTTGTGGCCCTTACGCTGCTCTGACCGGCACACTGTCCTGACCCCCCCCCCCCCACACACACACACGACTCTGGCTGTCACGCCAGCCGGGCCCCAGAGCCCACTGACTCCCGACGCCAGCCGGGCCCCAAAGCCCTCTGACTCCCGAATCCAGGCAGGCCCCAGAGTCCACCGACGCCCGACGCCAGCCGGGTCCCAGAGCTCGCCGACGCCCGACGCCAGCCGGGCCCCAGAGCCCACTGTCTCCTGACGCCGTGCTGACCGCTGCGCCGTCCGGCAGCTGCACGACGACCTGCTGGAGCTGCGTGACGCACACGCCAAGCTGCGCGAACAGAGCCGGCGCGTGATCCGCGAGAAGGAGCGGGCGGAGCGCGAGCGTGAGGAGCTGCAGCACCGGCTGCAGCTGGCGCAGCGCGCCGAGGCCGACGAGGAGCGCAAGATCAGCCGGCTGGTGGAGCAGGTCAGCGTGCCACTCGCAACGCCGGCTGGACCTGGCACAGCCGAGAGGCGGAGGATATTAGAAACTCATGTAGTCCGCTTGCTTTCATATCTTGTATTGTCATCGATCGTAGGAGCGACATTTATGTGTATGTTAGTCAGCCTTTCTTCACTTCAAACCTTTCTGAATGATTTAGATTTGTATGACCCACAAAATATCAAAATTTCACCTTGGTGTATGCTAAAAATATATTTCGTACAAAACGCATCAGAACTACGTCATTCCAAGCTTGCCTGCATCCGCCTCTGCGTTCCCTGCATTTGGAGCCAAGACGAGATAAGTGATTCCTGGCGTTAACGCTTGTTTGACTCCCACTCCCCTTCTGATTGACGCCACCATTACGAATGTTGTGCCTCGTAACTCCGGCTAGTTTGATACGATCACGAAAATTCGTTTAAGGCTGCTTACAAACCAATCTTGCTGCTGCTTCCTGCTGCTTCCTGCCAAATCTTGCTGCTTCGAGCCAAATCTGCTGCTGCTTCCTGCTTCTTCCCGCTGCTTCTTGCTGCTTCTTGCTAGATCTTGCTGATTCGAGCCAGTGCATTCTGAGATGGGGGAGGGGGAGTCGAGGGGAAGCGGCTGGAAGAGACCTGCACAGTGAGGGTCGCATCTAGCTATCCTGGAGCCGCGCAGGAGAGGACCGTAGCGGTTATGACCAAATCATGATGACGAAGTCTTCATGATGCTATTTTTTACTATACATTCGGTATAGCATTTAGCGCATATGTGTTTCTCGCCATGGTTTCACTGTATTTCTCACATCCAGTCCTTGTCATCTTTCAGACTGTACCAAACGAAATTATGTTCATCACTTTTTTGTTTTCTTATGATCAAGTATATCACCACTTTTACGGAAACAGTCGCAAACGTATCCATGTTGTATTTATCATGCTGTGTCGAAGTCAGCAATAGTAATACTACGCTGTGGTTTCGTTTAAAAAGTACTTATCAGCCATGATCGTGTCGTTAAGACACCTAGTCCACATGAAACCTGCACGGCAGCTCGGGGCACGTCTAAACTCGGTTAGCTATGGTTAGAGTTTGGCTTCCACAAAAGACGTGTTATGCATTTGTGTTAAGCCAATAGCACAGCATCCTTGTAAGACCACCACCCTTGTTACTGTCCCGCAAGGGGATGTTGATTGCTGGCTGGTCGTAATACTGTAGAGATGCATAGTCTAGTATATCAGTGTCCATGTTTTGTTTGCGTGGTAAGCCCCCTCCCTTCCCTACCCAACCCCCACAGAAGCACATAGTGTTTGTCTAGTCGGTAGATTGCAGAATCGCTGAACGTTCTTTAGTTAGACGCAGTGCCTTGCAGCTTGAAGACCAGCTTGCGGTAGTGAATAAGACACTAGAGCTGCAGGAGAGGCGGCCGGCGCCCGCCAGCCCGACTGCCCCTGGCGTCTCCAGGTCCTACCAGGTGAGCAGGTCAGGTGTAACCTGGTCGTCTGCTGACCCGGCTGTTGACCCGTTGACCCGGCTGTTGACCCGTTGACCCGATGTTGACCCGGCCCGCGCGACGCAGCGGGGTCGGCCGGACCAAGGGAGCGCCACCTGGCACCAGACGGACGCCGCTAACCGTCAAAAGTGCTCTCTTGCTGACGCCGCTAGTTCGAAATGTGTTATGCCTGGGTTATATGTTTGCAGTAAATGTTCGCGCAACCCAAGCCCTCCAGAAGGAGCGCTGGCAACTGTAGTACTCATGCAAACGCCCGGAGGCCATAGCGCCAACCTGGAATCAAACAATGGAAAGTTCTTCGGAAGAAAATGATAGAGCAGCGTAGAATGAGCCTGAAAGGAACCTTTGCTATGGCTATGATTGACTCCGTAATGGGCGAGATGAATTGTGCAACATGCAGCTAAAATTACGGCCACACGGCGAGCCAGCAGGGGGACAGGCAAAGCAGGTTCCACAGGTGCCCGAGGTGTCCCAGGCAGATGTCCGAGATCCAAGGCCGGGACGCGGCAGCGGCGAGTGCCTGTCAGCGGCTCCACGTGAACTCCCCTTAAGGAAATTCGGGCTTTTCTTAGATTCACACATCATGCACGCGATTCTGTGTCGCGTATTGCAAAGCGAGTCCATTTTTTTAGTCAAATCACGATAACCAAGTCATTATAAGCGTGGCGATTCGACCCGTGTTCGTCTACGTTGCTTTCAATGGTACTTTTGCCTCGTCTAAATGAAGACTAACATGAGTGAAACGCATTGCTTAATAATGTGGCATCAGCAGCTGATATTAGCAATTACAAGCGCTAGACGTGAAGACATGAAGACTCAGCCGCGATGGCATGGCTCTTTCACTCGGCCCATCCATCTCATGACTAGGAACATGTCATAGCAGCGGGTGCGGTGTACCCACGGTCGGGTGGGACCGGGCGTGCTCACTGAGCCGGCCGGGCGGGATGTCTGGCACATTGAGGACCACTGGCCAGCCGCAGCCGCTGCTGACTCGTGCCATCTTGTCTCGTTACTTCTCCTCATGCGGCTGTTGTGTTGTGTTGCAGATCGGAAAAGTAAATTCGCTGTCTCCGTCAGCAATGAAAGGTGAGAGAGGATTGAGTGTCTTTGCCTTACAAATTATTAATTCGACTGTTGTTCACCGACGCTGTCAGCGGCATTCCTAGCCCTCTTTGAGGCATGAATTAATGTAGAGGAACGTTTTCATCCCCGTTCTTGCTTACATGCGAATAGAGACCAAAACCAAATAAAGCCTCATGGGTATAAACGTTTATTGGGTTATTATATATGTATTGGTGACGATATAATGATATCTAGAAAAGTGGCAATAAGCTAACACAGAGCGAGGTAAAAGCTACCGAACAGAAAGGAAAGAACTAAATATAAAAACTTGCATTAACATGTGAATACAAAATGACTGGCGCTGGCCATAGGCTCCAAACCATCAGCAGAAGCGGAAAAGGCGAGGGAGGAGTTCCAGACTGCCGTCAAGCAGATCACCAGCACGGTGGACGAGCTCCGTCAGTCGCACGCCGCGCTCATGGAGGAGAAGGAGCGAGGCCGCTCCAAAGGCTTGAGGCAGCAGAACTACCGCCGGTGAGACGAACTCGTTGGCAATATTTAACGGGGAGCCCGTCCCATGACGGTGGTCCGACTTGTCTGGATGCGCGGCTGCGCTGATATCAGGCCACAGACTCTGCTCCTAGCTTCTGAGATCGTTCATCACTTAAATCAAATGTTTAACGAACATTTCCTTCCGCTTTTTTTGTTGCATGCCTCTTGGTTTTCCTCCCGCTCTCTCTCCCTCCCTTCACATATCCCTTTCCTCCCTCCCTTTATCTCTTCCGTCTTCCTTCCTTCCTTCCTTCCGTCATCCCTTTGCACCTCCTCTCTCCCTCCCGCTCCCTCCTGCCCGCCTCTGACCCTCCGGCACTGGTCACAGTTCGGCCTCGATGGGCGAGACGCTGGGCGAGGAGGGCGCCGCCGCCGACAGCAGCCGCCGCGGCGGGCGCGGCGCCTACCCGGCCGCCGCCGCCAGCATGGTGCTGTCGCCGGCGCGGCGCGGCGGCAGCCTCGGCCGCAAGGCACTCTCGATGGGACTACGAGGCGACTCGCAGGTGAGCACGGCTCGCCGTATACCAGTGACGTCACGATCGGTAAATGGCGACACCGGCAGGCTGGCTTGGCGGCCCCGTTGCAGTCCGGGTTTGGCACCACCGCTCTGTCCAGTGCTTGATTCAGGCAGGGGCATTTGGCAAGTATAAGTATACATATATATATATATATATATATATATATATATATATATATATATATATATATATCGGCCAAGCAGACATATTCAGCCTCTATGGCAATCCTGTAGGCCTGTAACTGAGGGAATGCTAGCTAGACATGCCCGTAAGTGGGTCACCATTAGATGCTTTCGAAATATGGTGGCCTTTGTATTTTGTAAGTGTTTAAGTTGCGTAGGTTGCTTGCTATCAGTTTTTATCTGAGCTAAGAAGGCATTGTCCGAAAGATTGCTTCCTCCTGGCGCTGACAGAAAATTTGGACGTGGTTTCAGGATTCCATATATGAACATGATGAAGGCTCGCTTGAGTCACTCGATCCCCTCACCTATGCGACCATGCCACGCAAGAAGCTTGAACGGGACGTGAGTGTTGACCGGTAAGCAGCCTGTTCGTCGCCTTTTCCTGCCCACCGTCGTGCGACAAATGACGTCACACTCGACCAATCAGCGACTGAGCTGTCGTATGGCCCTTCTTGAACAGTTTTCTGGAAACCTCGATTATCGGGTACTATCTGATACCCATGGGCAGTTTGGTTCCAAACATCGACTCGCATCAAGGGAATAAAAAACCGATTGCCGCAAAAATTGCATCGATTATATACTACGATCCACAGAGTGCGGGGTAATTGTCCGAAGTCTATGTCAATCACTGTGTCCCACAGTCCCGTTCCCACCAGTCCTGCGACGAGCTGACGAGAAATCTCTTTCCATCCCGCAAATATTTGGGGTACAGCTTTTATCATCTCTTTGTATGGCTTGACTTGGTGATGCGGCACCAGGAGTTGTATCGTTCAGTATTAATGTTGTTGATACATTTAAGAAGGAAACACCGCAGAACAAGTGCAATATTGGGTGTTTGTGCATATGCATAGCCCGACTATAACTACTAGAAATTTATGAAAAACTCGGCCCAGACTGCCCGAGCATGGATATACATGATGTTGAAAGCATCCAAACTTTCGTATGGTAAACATTAGCGGAATGTCGCAGAATGGGAATGGGGTTGACCGGCCTGTAATGCATGACTCCAAGTGCTCTGTGGTGACGACAGCTACTCGTAATTCAATAAACGTGGTGCATTTGGGCTTACCTCCCAGAGAGGCGTCGATAGGTGTCTGGTAGCAGTGGTTCCAGAAAAAAGAGCATTTGAAAAGTGGGCGCATGCTGACCAGCAACTTCTATACAGAATCTCCAACAGATGCCCTAATGGAGGCTCCGCTAACTGTTGTTACACGCCATTTTGTAATTTTTCGAAACAAAGGCCAGCAGATGTGTGTGATTTCAGTGACATGCTGGGAGGGGAATACATAACCCTGAACAAAATCAGTTGGTCTTATAGAACCTTAAAGTTTTGAAATAGGTGTAGGGGTTCTCATTTGAACATCTTGACATGAACACAAATGTCTGCAGCTCGCAGGTCTTTTATTTTTCAAACTCGTTTCAAGCATTTTCAGAGCAGTGGTTGAACGCTTAAAACATTTTGGTCTGGTTTCCCACTTGCAGAGTATCAACTGGCTCAACGCAGAGTGAGATCATCTCTGGAGTGAATCCTGTTAAGAAAAAGAAGGGCTTGAAGTCCCTGCTGAAAGGCCTGGGCAGGTCCAAGAGTATCGAAGACTCGGAGACTGGGCATAACATCGTCGGTGCGGGCGTACAGGTAAGCCTTCCCAGCTCGCGTTCTCTCCAGAGCACTGATAGTGGAGGGGAAGGGGCAGTTGCCTGCAGAGAAGCAGTTTAAGGACTGGGGCTAGGCACACACAAATGCTGGTGACCGAATCCCAGATTAGTTGTGACAGTGACCGTTTGTATTTATGAATGATTGATAGTCGATGTTGAGCACGTACAATGAAGGGGTGATTAAAGGCAGGCATCTTTTTTTCTTCTGGTCGGGCACGCAAAATTCGGTGCCCGCTTTCAGTCATCTCTTCACTGTGCGTGGGTGTCACTAAGGTACAGTCTCCCTCCCAGCGTAGCACGGCAGACACGGTCATGTCTTAGAGTTCACTAAAAATTGGTACCAGGAGTTATATCATGCGTGAAGTCCAACTGGCACGACATCAGGCCCCGGTATCAGATCGCTAACGGCGGCTCATGGCCTCCATGAGCAGGCTAGCTGCCAGAGACTACCGAAGACTCCCGATGAGGACTGTTGCTCAGCGCGATGAGCCGCATGTAACGTGTTTTTAGCAGACTCTGAGGTACCGTCATATGCAAAATAGCCATGATTCAGCTAAGAGCGTATCATGGAGCGATGCAGGAATGTAGCCGCTTTTCTGCCATCTCGTAAGATGTCCACGGGACACATTTCAGAGTGTTCAGAGGTTTTAAACGCCTTTCCCTAATAGTTTGACATGCTGGCGGTTAGTCAGATGGACATCAAGTTGAATACCGATCAAACGCGCGCTCGGTTTGGAAGGTATTAGCTTCCTGAATAGCCGAAGTTTCACATGGAACAATTGCGACGTCGGCAACAGTGAAAAACCTACCGTCTTTCACTGTTGTTTCACTGTTGTGGAAACCTACTGTTTCCTGCTGTCTTTGCCGTCAAGAACTGCAGTTCGCTGCGTGTGCCTCAGTTCTCCAGCCGCCTGGCGAGCCCTCCGTTGTCGCTCCACACCCCACAGTTGCAGTAATGCATGCGCATGACCAGATGTCAAAATCGTCGACAAAGAGGCCGATGGTTTGGGGAAGTGTCTTGTCTATATTTTTGCCATGACAACAAATAGCGCCACCTTAAAATGCTTCCTTGCGGTGTTCCATCCACGTTTAAAAACGAATATTTAAAGTGATGGCCAACTCCGTGTCCGTCCCGGTGGCTCAGTTGGTTAGAGCGCCTGCCTTCCGATGCACCCACCCGTGGCGGGGTGGGTTCGAGTCGCTTTAGGGCGCTCGCCATTTGCCTGTGACAGGTATGGCCCGCGGCCAGTGGCAGCGGTCGCGCTAAACGTCAGTTGACGTCAGAGGGCAGGACGGACCGTGCCGAGCATTGCGGCACGTTAAGCTTTCGCCACCAAATTCTGCCGTTGACATGGAATTGCGCGATCAGATGGTAGGGGTCAGGACTCACACAACAAGCACTGCTTAGCGTGAGCTCTAATCCCGGAAATCCATCCATTCAAAGGGTTCGGATCAAATCTTTATAAAAAACTCGTATGCGGAAAAGGCGTTTCAACGGAATGATTTGTAAAAACATTCCCATACAACCACCAATGTCGTGTTTAAGAAGCTTGACTAGCATTTTATTACGCCAGGTTGACCCGTTGGTATTCTTAACTTCGGAGAAGATGGTATCTAAATGGTGGCGTTGTTCATTGGTAGCGCGTATGGCAGAGTCACGTGTAAAGGGTGGTCCATCTTGCAGTGGTTCTTTTAAAGCCACGTTGAATATCGTTTGGCATGTGCTTCTCTTCCGCGTGCCATGACAATCTGACAGTTTACCATCCTTTCTGTTAATTTGCGTAGCAATGGGGCAAGCATTACGCCAATGTGCCGGGAAACCACCTCTTTTCTAAAACAAGTTAAAATTACATAATAGAGACTGCAACACACGACAAGAGAAATGTTTTAACATCCCATTATGGATGTGATGGGGACTTTCCGTCACGCTCCGCAAAGTCGAAATGGACGCTCGGAGTTCATAAATGGTAAATGACAGATTGGCACTCCCCGGTCCACCATGGGACCGGGGTGGGACGTGTCCCAGTGGTTTTCAGAATTCATCCATGAGTGACGTCTAAAAGCAGGTATGTGAAAACGACCGCAGGTAAAGGCTCTCTTAATGGGTCGGCTGGGAACACAAACTCCACCCGAGGTTCGAACTCACACCAGGCGACTTTTCTGAAATAATAGCTCTGGGGCCGACGCCCAACAATAGCTCCATCCAAGCAGCTCAGCCACGCAGAAAAAATGATCGCTGTCCATGGGGTTGTCGGCGACATGCCAAGTAAAACGCGGCACGAATAGTCAGCTCAAAAGACTTAGGTCAATAAACGACATCTGGCCCGAGGGCAGTGCAACTTGTGTCCAAGTCCTAGTATTTAAAAGGCGTAGTTATTCTTGGTGGATAAAGCATTCATACAGACGTCACCGCGTGTGGAACCCCAGACGGTGTGGTGCGCGTTAAATCAACTAACATGATGACGGGTTGGGAAGATCCAAAACTAAACGGCTGAGCTCTGCCACAGGAAGCGCGACTCCTGTCCGTAAATATACGGGGCACACCGTGATAAGTCGATGACTTAAGTTTACTAGAGCTGCCACGACCTGGAGGGTGGTGTCGAGTACCAGTTGATGAACAGACGCGCGGTGGTAACTAGCTGGAAGAGCACCGGACGCGACTGTGTTCGATGTCTCGTCCTCGCGGAACACCGAAAGGCCTTTGGTCGTCCATTGTGCATCGGGCGTAGCTTCGTCTCCCGCAGACGGATGGTCACCGCATAGCGCTCGTTTCAAAGAACTTGAGGATGCTGTTCGGGAGTGCGCACGTTCCTGCGGTTCCATCGTAAGACTTTGCCACGGCACTAAACATGGGGCGCAGCTTACGCTTCCAGTGTTCTTCTACTAACAGCGCTGGCAAGGGGGCGTTCGGAAAGAGATGAAAATGTTCCCTAAACGTCGTGGTACGATCTACCAGAGCTCGTACCAGCAGCCGAACGTAGCGCTACTGTTGCGCTCTGTGCTTTCGACCCGACCGAACAAGGTCGAATCCATGGCCGGACCTTAGGGCTACCGCCCTCTTGCGGTGAGACAGGTCCGGACGGGCCCCGCTTGTCAGGGCGCCCCACGCTGCACGGGGGCGCCGCAGTGATGCCGTGCTGGGTGGCGATCCTTCAGGATTCTACGCGGTTGGCGCATGTGGAACTTGAGTGTAAGTCTGTGGGACATGTGAAAGTAGCCTCAGCGATGCCACGCTGGGACTTACCAGTGAGATTCCCAGTTAAGGAATGATGCTGTAGCGGACCTCAGCGTGCCGGGGTGGTTGACATATCGTCGCTTGACACTAAATCAAGGCGAAGGAGGATTCCCTGCCCTCCCGTGTCCGGTATTCGTGCCGGTATCATTGGTATACCCAGGTGGACCGCGCTCCCCACAGGTAATGGCTACGGGTCTGCAAGGATCAGGCTCGGATCTCTCTGACATCAGCGCGAACCTACACGACAAGGAAAAGAAAGGGCTCAAGGATAAATTCAGCAAGCTGTTCAAAACCCCACCGCCATCTAGGTCTCAAAGGTAAGGAAATCACGGCATGCTAGTTACCCCATGCTTTTAGTTCCCTTCGCGCCCCTGACGTATGATGTCCAGTTAGCCGTGTGAAACGAACAATCCTTCGATACATGAAGGGGGACCCTCAGCATAACTCCCATGATATCTGGTACTTTTTAGCACATTTACAAGCAAACAGCCTGTTTTTGGGGTCGTTCCATGCCAACCCATCCAATGAAGGGTCCCTTTTGTCACACGATAATATGGGATTCCGACGAAATTTTGTCTACGGGGTTTGTCTAGTTCTGAGCACGATTGCGATAAATGAGAGCAGCTGGAGCACCAGCTGCTATCGTTATAAAAATGGGGATATTTTCTTATCATTTTAGGTTGAAAATGGTATTCTAACGCTACCATTTACAAAATTGTGTATCACAGATACTAAATTCAACAGCGAAGTGATAGACCGTAAGCTCGTTGCACGAGGTGGTATTGGAATGCCCACCATGTCATTCAGCCCGCCAGGTTTGTGTTTGCGAAGATTCAGAAAAATGTCTTGGTTTCTAAATAAAAATGGTTTCGTTTTTTGGAATATATTTTTAAAATTTTATAATATATTCAAGTACATATTTCAGACAGTTTTTTTAGTATATTGGTGCGTGAAATGCAGGCGTGATTGCGGTATAACGCCTCGATGAATTTGTGGACTGTGGTAAACAGCTTCCGAGAAGCGATCAATCAATCTTATTCTAACTATGAAAAACTAGGAAATGCCCAATAACTCCCAAATGGTATCTCAAATTGCTCCAATTTTCCGAGAATCATGCTTAGAGCAAAACAACCCTGTAGACTTAATTTCAGCCAAATTCCAGGGGTCCGGTGACAGCGATCGCTTCGGTTGGCATGGAATGGCCCCTCTGTTCCGCTTTTGCGCCCACAAATTTGTCTAGAATATCATTGCTTTTGTCCAGGGACGTCGCAGTTCTTTGTGCCGTTTTGCGTCTTCAGCTTAGAGGTATTTTGACGCCTCGCCCCGCATCCGCACGCCCTGTTGCCACCGACCGGTCGCAGAAATGGACTCTGGCCGGAGTGACCGATTTCCCCGGCGAGAGAAATACCTCCACTGTTATTGCAGGACACCATCATCCGCTGTACCTTCTTTGCACCGCCGTAGCTCCCTGAATGGTCTAGCTGTAATAGACGAGGTGCGTATTCCCAGGCTAGTTTTGCTGACTGCTAGAATGTTTTGTGCATGCGCATTTTGGCCTGCCGGAGCTGAATACTTGATAATCCTAACATTTTCAACATCATGCAGATACTCATCTTTTCGAACGCTACACTTTCTATCTCAAGAACTTGTCTCATGAGAAGGCAGTGCTGAGAGCATACACCAGCCGAACGTCTTCTACATGCTGTCTCTTTCCCTGCGCCCGCCCAGTATTGAGCGAGCTGCACGCGACACTAGCGCCGCCCCGCGGGAGGTGCCGACTGCTCCTGCCCGCCGCGCTAAGGCCTCTCCCAGCCCAGAGACGCGGCCGCGTAACCCGCTGAACGTACGGACGGGAGCGGCAGCGGCGCCGACCATCGTGAGTAGCTGCCTCATCAGCCGGTCGACATCGCAGGACCAGTGTGGATGGTGTGAGAATGCTACTACAGGTCACTGTGGTCGGAACACATCTGGCATGACACACATCCTCCCGAGCATCTCCTCCATGTACCACACCTTCGCACGCATCTTCCCGAGCATCTCCCCCAGCTGCCGTGCCTCTGCACGTATCTTCGCGAGCATCTCCCCGAGGTTCTGTATGTTCACATACATCTACCCGAGCATCTACCCCAGGTGGCGCATCTTCACCCACATCTTCCTGAGCATCTCTCCCAAGTACCGCACCATTGCACATATCTTTCCGATCATCCGTACGGGGTACCGCACACATCTTTCCGAATATCTACACGAGGTACCACACCTTTGCACACTCTTCCCGAGCAACTCCCTCAGGTACCACATCTTTGCACATATCTTCCCAGACATACCCCCTCCGCAGGTATCGCACCTTTGTGCAATCTCCCCGGGCATCTCGCCGAGATACCAATCTCTTTAGTCCTTTTCACGCTCTCGTCGCTCTCTCACTACCCTGTGGCCGTTTCCCATTTTTAAAGCGCCAAGACATCGCACCTTTTTTGAAATGGTGCCCAGCAGAGCAATGGATCGCATGCACGGACCCGCCGCAACGCGTACCAGCCGGATATGGCCCATCGAAACCCATCGAAAACCTTACCTGTACCCGTATGTGAAGAATCTTTGTTTAAGTTGTCGCTGTTTTATTGAGCCTGATCAACCCCTTGCCACCCTTTTATTTCAGCGGGACTTCAGCGTTCAAGAATGTCATGGAACCGTCCTTTATGCTGTTCCCCAGGGTGTCTGTAGGGTGGCCGCTGTCTGCAGCCTAACCGGGGACCCCATCGAGCTTTACTGAGCCGATCTTCTGCTGTACGGCGGGTGGTGGTGACGTCAGCAGTCACGTGTCGCCCGCCATGTTGTGTCACGTGCCGGGCATGAGCTCGGGGATACCCTTGCTTTCAGACTGTAACAGCATCCTCTCATGCCACAAGACCCCTTAAAAGATGATAAGGTACAAGTGGCAGTGCAGGCTTTCTTCGATGTTTATAGGAACCGGTACTGCGACGCCCGAAACTCATGTGCATTCAATACAAAGCGTACTGCTTATGTCTTTTTTTAAGCTCGTCTTACGTCTTGTCAACTGATGTCGTTAGCCATCAAATGGCTATATATTTTCTTTGCATGGTTTGGTAAGATTGCTAGACTTTCATAGAAGTTGATTGACCAGTATGTGAGTTATGCTACCAGCATAGCTTTTCATAAGCATGATTCACAGCTGTCATTGATGCTTTGTGTTGTTTGCATGCATGAAACTTTGAAACGTCATAGATTACTCAACTTGTGTTCGCACTAATTTGGTAGCTTACGTCTCAATGAATAACTGCTAACCTAGGCCCCGAATTATGAGATGTTTTTTCTGTGTATAGTTGGTTAACCTACGTCTGAACGTGGGGAGTCGCCGCAGCACCCTCCGATTTTTGTGCGGGCGTCTCCGGACCCAAGCGACGTAACGTGATTATATCTTGACCGCTTGAATTGTATTTTGTTTTCAATTAGACTTTTCAGTTTCGAGTTTCCACCACACGAGATGTCCTCCAAGTTAGCGTCGTACTCCTATTTGAATTCAGCGTTGCGGTCTGATTTCCATTAGATTGGTATCATGGTGTCAACTTTATCGAGACAGTTGCGTGCATGCAACAATAATTTACCTTCCTTCTTAGTTTGACCTCTACAAGTCGCTTGAAAGGTAAAAGCTTTAGTATTCCTTTGTTTACCGAAGAAATGGAACAAAATGGGCACCATAGTGATGTTTGTGATTTCCTATGATTTACTTCCGTAACATTTGAATGAAGCATTTTTGCATTTCTTGGGTGAACGAAGAACTGCCACGTTACCGTATTATGCATGACATTGGAGAGTTAGTTTTTACAGAGGTGACAAAAGTCCGACGTGACGAGCATCATGACATTGAGAGTTAGTTTTTACAGAGGTGACAAAAGTCGGCGTGACGAGCATCATGACATTGAGAGTTAGTTTTTACAGAGGTGACAAAAGTCGACGTGACGAGCATCATGACATTGAGAGTTAGTTTTTACAGAGGTGACAAAAGTCGACGTGACGAGCATCATGACATTGAGAGTTAGTTTTTACAGAGGTGACAAAAGTCGACGTGACGAGCATCATGACATTGAGAGTTAGTTTTTACAGAGGTGACAAAAGTCGACGTGACGAGCATCATGACATTGAGAGTTAGTTTTTACAGAGGTGACAAAAGTCGACGTGACGAGCATCATGACACTGAGAGTTAGTTTTTACAGAGGTGACAAAAGTCGACGTGACGAGCATCACGATAATGAGAGTTAGTTTTTACAGAGGTGACAAAAGTCGACGTGACGAGCATCATGACATTGAGAGTTAGTTTTTACAGAGGTGACAAAAGTCGACGTGACGAGCATCATGACATTGAGAGTTAGTTTTTACAGAGGTGACAAAAGTCGACGTGACGAGCATCATGACATTGAGAGTTAGTTTTTACAGAGGTGACAAAAGTCGACGTGACGAGCATCATGACACTGAGAGTTAGTTTTTACAGAGGTGACAAAAGTCGACGTGACGAGCATCATGACATTGAGAGTTAGTTTTTACAGAGGTGACAAAAGTCGACGTGACGAGCATCATGACATTGAGAGTTAGTTTTTACAGAGGTGACAAAAGTCGACGTGACGAGCATCATGACATTGAGAGTTAGTTTTTACAGAGGTGACAAAAGTCGACGTGACGAGCATCACGATAATGCAATTTCTTACAATTTTGGGTAAGCGAATAAATGCCAAGGTATCGCGTTTTGCATGGCCTTGACTTTTGACCTTTAAGGTTGGCTCTTGGAGGTTTGACGAATTTGGAACACCACGATTATCGAAAGTGATGCCCATTTTGTTAAATTCCTTCGATAAACGAAATAATGCCAGGGCGCCCCAGTTTCGACGTTTCAACAACCTCTACATAGAGCACAAACCAAGCGACCTAGAGAAAAGGAGATTGCATGCTTTTGAATAACCCGATGAGAATTAGGGTACAAGAGAAATGTATAGGAATCTGAGCATAACGTTGAATTTACATACGAATGCGAGGCCAACATGTCGGACATCCACATGAGGCCGTTTTCCGTGACTGTTCCCAAATCCGCCCGGACAGAAGAGGAAAATGGACGTTTCTCGATGAATCTTTGCTCTTTGTGCTTGAGATCTGCAAATGCAAGAATTTTGAAGATGCGGAGAAATTATGCGATGAATTTTGTCAATCGTAGTTAACTTTAGCTGGGTTCATTCGAAACCTGGAAAGTTCCGTGAAAGTAGCCTTAGACCTAACGTATCGTGGACCGAAGTGGCTGCAACGTCGTTCATATTCTAACGATCATCCAGGGCAGAGGTCAGATCAGGTTAAGTTATGCCAGATCTTCGAGACCATCAAAAGTGCTCCCAGCAGACATTTCACACTATACCACTAGCGTCGTCTTGCGCGGTGATTTTTTCCAGCCATGCAAGATCAAGGTCACAGCAGGTCATGGAGTGACTTCAGGTCACCTCGCACCATTATTTTGAAGTGCACAGTGGTTTGTTACAAGTCATAGGTACCGACTTTAGTCAAAATTTTGTGAAAAATTATTCACAGATGGAAGACATTATCATGCTACGTTTGACCCAACATGACAGATGACCTGTGGCATAAGGAGAACTCTTCTATTGCAACATATGCTGGACATTGAATGGGCATTTGGGGAGACGGGTCGCACCAACCCTCTCAAACCGCAGCGAAAGGCAATGAAACTGAAGAACATGGCTAGGGTTAAGCCGGATGAGCTTCGCCGCGTTTTAAGAGATCTTCGTAGCGTTTTAAAGTACAGCCTGGTATTTACACGCGGCGTTTGCATAGGAAATATGTGCGCACATCGAAGGCGTGAGAGAATGCGTGCCAAGAAATAGTCAGCATGTTATGTGGGTATTTGACGATCCGTAATTATCACAAATTATTAGTTTCTGAAAACTGCTGTCATTTCTTTAAAGGCATGGGTGACGGCTCCTGATCTTACGTGTACGCGTTCCAGCAAGCCGGCGAGCAGCCCTTCACCCGCTCACCACTAGGTGTCGCCCAGAGCGTCGCGACGCTGCCCAGGTCGGCGGCGGCCGGCGAGCAGAAGCCACCTAGCGGCGCCGCCGGGCGCGTCGGGGCGCTGGCTGCGTTTAGTCGCGCCCGCGCCAGGTTTGAGTCGTGACCGCCGCCTCCGGTGGAGCCTCCGGGGCGGCGCTGCATCCTCTGGCTGTTCCCTGCAAGCGGGCATCATACAGTGTTCGGCGCCGCGTGACGTGATCAGAGGGTGTGCTCGCGCCGGCGTGCCTGCGGGTGGCGGGCACCCTTAACGAGACACACACCTCCGCACATGTTATACTGGGCATCTGGCGGTAAAGCAACGCCGGGATATTGTTTAACACTTCGCGGCCGCACGCCACCTCCTTAAGTGTCCCATTGGAAACGTTCTGACTAGAGGAGCACTCCCGGGGAAAACATCGCTTCTGTTATACTGTGAAATCTCGCGAGAGATTCCGTGAAGGCGCCAGCATTGTGTGATGACACCATGTCGTTTCATATTGAGTCGTTCACCGTGTTGGTTTGTATTTTGCTTACTGTTTGTGTAGCACACTTCAGACTTGGGTTGCCGTCATCGTGTGTCTCAGCCGCCGACCGACTTGTTCAGGTGACAAGGTCGGGCATGAGGCCGCGGCTGGTGTCCTGTTGTCTTCACGGGCACGGCCGGCTCATCTGAGCAGGGCGCGTGTTTACCGCTCAGTTCGCCAGGTAGCTCCGCCGTCGGCCGGCGCCGCTTGAGCGCGGCCTGACGGGTGAGATGTTGACCTGCTCACTGGATTATCCGCTGTTGTCGTGGTTCGTGGAGTACGCAGTGGCCGAGGCCTGGTGTCATGAGTGGCAGGATGGCTATGTCGGGCCCAGTCTGAGGCCGCCGCTGTCGACCGTGCCCACCCGCGTGTATGTCCGTTCATGTTGACACACTGCTGATGTATACGATTGGTGTAAATACATGCTGACATGCTCTCCCAACCGCGTGATGTCGCCGAGCAATAGCATCGCTGGTGGGATGATGCGGTCGGTGTGCCGCGGAGGCTGACAATTGGTCTGCAGTCGGTCTGCAGTCGGTGTGCTACTGAGGCTGACAGTCGGTCTGCAGTCGTGTGCCCGCATTCGGTGCGCCACGGAGGCTGACAGTCGGTGTGCAGTCGGTCTGCAGTCGTGTGCCGCAGTCGGTGTGCAGTCGGTCTGCAGTCGTGTGCTGCATTCGGTGTGCCACGGAGGCTGACAGTCGGTCTGCAGTCGTTCTGCAGTCGGTGTACCACGGTGGCTAACTACCGGATGCTCGCCGTAACCTCACGAGCTTACATGGCGTCCACAAGCACGGGCGGCAGCGTCGGAGCGCAGCCTTTTAGGATGGCACGCGACCCCGACACCGCGGGTCATAGATCAAAAAATGGATGCCGCAGAGCCTGTTCCCAGTCACACAAGAAGCCAAAATCTTATTTCAGACTATGGAGGGCTCCAACTTCAGCGATGTTCAATCAAGACATGCGTTCTGAGAGCTGGCGTTATTGCGACGTAGTCCCGCGGGAAAATTATGCTACGAGATCGTGCAGCTCCTGTTCAAAAGAGGAACGGGTGGGCAATCATGGTATGGCATGCATAACATCAGGTTAGTGTTAACATGCATGTGCAGCATGACGCAGTGTGCCGAAAACCCAAGATCCGGTCAAAGAAAACCTGAAATTAGTTCTCACCAGAATGGAGTCACAATTTAAACAGGCATCTTCATTCCGTCGACAGCTACCCACGCATGAAGCGCTTGTCAGACCCGAGCTTTGAGACGAGTAGCGCGTTGTTTGGCCCGGAATCTGTCCTCCTCTCCTCCCTGGACTCCCGTTAGGTGGGACACACTCAGGCTGCAGGGTGGATGCCAATCGGTGAATCCCCGTTCCCAACTGACGTCAGGCCTGTGAAATAGAGGAGCCGAGCGGCGCGGTGGGTGGTCGGGCGGAGCCGGGCGGCGTGGCACGTGGTCGGGCGGAGCCTGGGCGGCGTGGCACGTGGTCGGGCGGAGCCGGGCGACGTGGCACGTGGTCGGGCCGGGTCGGGCGGAGCCGGGCGGCGTGGCACGTGGTCGGGCGGAGCCGGGCGGCGTGGCACGTGGTCGGGCGGAGCCGAGCGGCGTGGCACGTGGTCGGGCGGAGCCGAGCGGCGCGGCACGTGGTCGGGCGGAACCGGGCGGCGTGGCATGTGGTCGGGCGGAGCTAGGCGGCGTGGCACGTGGTCGGGGGGAGCCGGGCGGCGTGGCACGTGGTCGGGCGGAGCCGGGCGGCGTGGCACGTGGTCGGGCGGAGTCGGGCGGCGTGGCACGTGGTCAATCGGAGCCGTGCGGCGCGGTAAGTTGTCCGGCGGTGTCCGGCGGCGCGGTAAGTGGTCAGTCGGAGCTGGGCGGCGCGGCGCGTGCACGTTATGGCTTGCCGAGTCCTGTGTCCACCACCGGAGTGGCTGTCAAAAACCGGCCGGTCAGGCTTCGACTCAGCTGCCCGCACCTGCTCGCGCGCCACTCAGCCGTCAGATCCGCCCGTCTGGTCATGTCCAGAATTGCATTACCCACGTGCGGCGATCAAAGCCACAGAATATGCACCAGAAGAAATCTGACTGGTCGATATCTACAGCTTACGTCACGTCGCTCATGTAACCCTGGCAAGCCGGCGTCGGCGTGCTGCGACGCCGTCCACCTCAGGGCGCGGTACTGAGGTCTAGGCGAGACATGGCCGCCAGCCTTTGTCCTCGAATATAGTGTGTGTAGCGTCACGTAAGTAAAGAGAATGCCCACTGCAGATTTGATAACTGATTAGACCAAGCTGTAAGTAGCCTCCAGCCTGGAGAGCCGTCACGTTCACAGTGTGGACTGTGACAGCGCTAGCTTCCCCCAGCGGGCATTTCCCAAACACACCGGTGGTGTTGAAGCGGTTTGGCTCGCCAACGCTCACTCGCCGCGTCTGGAGCCTTCTTTGAGCCGGCGCGACGCCCGGGATTTACACATTCGCACAAGTTTCGTGGTTGAGCCCAACTGGCGAAGATGGAAATTGAAGGTGACTTTTCCCGTGGCATTTTTTGGCTGAAAGATTCAGAATAAGTAAGGCGAGCATAAACATCAGCCTGATTTGGATGAATGGACAAGTTAGGTAGGCGTAATTGATGAATAAAGTAATTGATGCATAATACGTTAATAAATAGGCAACCAAGATGGCACGTGCCGCATGAGCTTTCTGGCGAAGAACCTGGCAACCGTAAGTGCGAGAACTTCCACAAAAGCGAGCGCGTTCGAAGTGGAAACCCGTTTCGTTCGCGTGCTTTTCGAACGCGCGCGCTGAGTAAAGCCCAGTGGCCAACCAGTCTGCTGCAGAGACTGTCCACCAGGCTGCACTTTTGCTTTGGCCTCATGCAGCCTGATGCATCTTGCCGAGTTAAAATGAGTTCACAGAACACCTTGATGATAGCAACGGACACCGTTCTCTCAAAGTCAAATAAGGAAATGTCAATAATTCATAGCACGGTGCCAGCACACCTACTGTTATGCTGGAGCTCGGTGCAAACTCCTACCGTCGGTACTGCCCTGAGCAAACTCCAGCCGGCAGCTGACGCCGGTCCGCCCGTGTGAGCGCCGGACGCGACGGCGAAAGTGGCGCTGCTCACTGGACCGTGGCGGCGACGCGACCACGAAAGCGGCGCGTCGCTCAGTTTCGCCAGTGACGGGTGTTGGCCGGCGAGCGGGCGAGCGGGCCAGCCCCCGCGCGGGCCCGCGCTGTGCCCCAGCCGCCGGGCAGTCGCTCGTGGCTGGCGGACCAGCCCCGGCCTCCTGCCGCGCCCCGCAGATGGCCGCCCGCGTCGGTGTACTTGTGCTGGTCTTCGTGTCCGCCGCGCTGGGCCCAGCGCTGGCTGACTGGCCGGTGTGGGAGCAGCGCAGGGAGCGGGGGCTCGCTCCCCAGATTAGTCCAAGACGCCTCGGTCTTGCCGGCCAGCAGCCTCGTCGGCGCAGCAGCTTCGCACACCGGCAGAGTCAGCGCGACTTCTTCAGCCCTCACTGGCAGCAGAATGACTTCATCCCGAGTCAGCCGCCGCACGACGGCTTCAACCGGGATCCTACCTGGCAAGGCCCTGGCCACGGCCCTGGTGAGTGCTTCGGCTGTTCACGGTGGCCAGAAATGGCGTCGTGAATATATGTGCGGCATCAACGTATAGCCCATGCATGGCTGCCAACACAGATGGTTTGAACTGACGCCAGTGCCAAGACATCGATAAAAGACGAAGCATGCCACCAAGGGCGCCTCTCAGTCCTCCTTCGCCAACCTTCTAACCTTCTAACCTTCCCCAACGCTCACTCTCTCTGTCTCTCCCGCTCTCTTTGCTCTCGCGCGCGAGTGGGATCGAGTGCAGTTGTATGTTCATAATATATTCGTTTTATATTCGATGAAGGTAAGATGTGGCTTCTGATGGATGGTCTAGAGGCCTCTGAGACAATCAGCGGTTTTAGAGAAGGAAGCCAGCGTCGCGCACTGTGACGGAGCCCCATCCCCTCTTCCCTCAGCTGAGATCGGCTGCAGCATCAACGGTGAGATGTACCAGCCGGGGCAGAGCTGGTACCTGCCCGGCTGCAGGAGAGGCACGTGCGTCAAGTTTGGCTACAACTACTACGTCTCAGAGGACAGGTGATAAGAAAACTGGTGGAACGAGCGAAAGTGACGTAAACGTTTTCCTGAAAACGGCAAGCATCGAATAATGAAGGCGTATGCCTATTTCCTGGTAGCCATTCTGGACACGTGACTTGACCGAGTTTTTTTTTTGCCACGACGGAGTCGCTTTGTGTTTAGGGCGATATGTTTCGCCTGCTTGAATTTGAGGTAAGAGACACAGTTTTTGCTTAAAATGTAGATTGGCTAAATTGACTGCCTTTAGTTGGGTTCAGATGGCTATTTTGGCTAAATAAGCGTTAGGTGTGAACGCCATGCGCTACAGGTGATGAATAGTCTTGTTTCCTTCATTACGCAGCTTTTTCAAAAGTCTCAAAGGTTATTTCGAAAAATGAAGTTATTTTGACAGTTCGTTCAACTTAGACAGTTTGACTGAACGGTTGCGTTGCTCTGCTTTGTGTTGTTTTCTCTGTGTGGCAAAGTCTGAGTGTCATGTCTGTTGTTTTTTTAGGTGCAAAACGGAGTACTATAACAGCAACTATGCGTGTGTCATTTACGAAGAGAGGAACCGACGGTACCCACACTGCTGTCCTTACTACAAGTGCAATCCCGAGCTCTGACGCCTCTGCGGAAGACACCGAAGTGTCAACACAACTCACGCTCTGCAGCTCAAGGAGCCATGCTCATCATGTAGAGGGAACCCAATGTTGTCAACTTTGTTTGAGCACTGGTCAGTGTGTACACGTTCAATGAAGTATTTGTGCGTGCTATGACTTGTTTGTAATTGATGCCGGCTGTACTGAGAACCTGCAGTTTGTTCGTTTGCTGTTTATGCTCAGTTATGGACAGGAAGCAGCACATGATGGGAAGAGTTGATTGGCACGGAAGCGGAGCACTGAACCCAGGGCGGCCTCCCTTACAATAGCGAAAGATGCAATCCTCAGCATAATCCTACATCCCGGGCATGCGGCATCATGGCATCGACAGCCTCCCTGGTGTACCATTGTACCATGGTACAGTGCACATGTACCACGCCCATTTACCACCATGACGAGGATAGCAAAATGCAGTTTGGTAATGACAGAAGTTGTATAGATAGTTGCTCCCATAGAGCTGCAACAAAAAATGTCATGTTTATAGAAGTGAGCGATTTTTTTACTTTGCAGATCCCTTGGGTTTTGCCGGTTGCTAGGAGCTCTCGTAACTTTGAAATTGTATTTTTATTTGTTGTATTTTTATTTGTTGTATTTGTTGTTAAATTGTATGTTTTGGCACGACCGTTGGCCAGCCCAGTATTTCGCACATGAAATAAAACAGAAGAGAAAGGATGTAAAACTAATATGCACACGTTGGATGATTAAACCAACGGCTGCCCTTCAGTCGCCATGCGACATGCGACGCGTTCCATGCGAGGTTGCGACGTGCGACATCGGACCTTCCACCACTAGCGCGTGATGGCTGCGTGTTGGCAGACATTCATATTGTAGATGACTGAATAAGACCAATGCGTTGTTCCGCACATCAGGTCCCGGGTGTCACGCAGTTGCTAGGGCTTTCCGAACGTCGGCATTCGCCCTGGCATGGTCTGGCAGGTCTGTGACGAACTCGTGCTCGGTCTGCTGAGCAACGCAGTCTCTCGGGTGGCCCGCTCCCAGCGCTCGTTTCACGCAAGTCTGCCCTGCCAATGGGCTGACTTATTATAACAACCGGCGATTGTGGCGGTGCCGCGCGCCGCTTTGAGGTATTATCCGATGGTATGCGTGCAAGCAGGGAGAAGAATGGAGAAGGGCACCTTTAGACCACGGAGGAGAGAGCATGGAAGAGCACGCCTTTACCGTTCCACTCCCGCATCCCTAGTATGGTTCACAGCTACCTCGAATAGACTACCCGGATTGCGCATACTGGCTGGTCTTCGCCAAACGAGTTCCTTGCATTTCGGGAGTAGGCAATGATCCGGTCAAGCTTTGCTATAACCCGCTTTGACTGCCCAGCCGGCATATACAAACGCTCCCGACTTGGCCAAGCTGGGCGTTCGCGGCGCGGCACGTGGGCCACGTGTGTACCAATGACGTGCTTCCGGTCGGCAGCGCAAGCTGCGGCACGGCTGTGGCAGTCCGCCGTGAGCCGCGCCAGCCAACGGCACTTGAGCCGGCGCGCTTGGTGGAGCCAAGCGAGCCCGACCGACGTTCACGTGCGTCTTACTGTCTTGTGTTGTGTTCTTTTCGTGTTTTGTATGTTTTGTGTGAATAAACATGTGAACTTGTAATTTGTTGATTTTCCTTTAGAAAGGTAGCCTGTTTAATGTGACACAGGTTTCTGTCCCTCTCTTCGTTGTCGCCGCGTGGCATAAGCCGGCTTAGCGTAGCTTTTTGCCTGGCCTTCAGCCAGTAGGGAATTCGTTAGCTCCACCACATTCCGTGCTGTGCCATGCTGTGGTGTGCTGTCTTCCTCCTTGTTTCTCCGTCTTGATCTGTCCTGTCATCTCTGGAGCCTGTCGTGTATACCTAGAATCCATCTTACGCAACGCACTTTTTTTAACACACTCAGCTCTCACTCTTCTTAACCCTCAATCCTCTTAGCCCTCAGCCCTCTTAGCCATCAGCCCTCTTATCCCTCAGCCATCTTAGCTTCCAGCCCTCATAACCCTTAGCCCTACCCTCAGCCCCGTTTTCCTGTCGTCTTGTGCCCTGTGCTATCATTTGCTGCCCTTCTTTGTGTCCCTATCTCCTACCCTGTCCCATGCTGCTGTTTTTGTCCTGTGTTCTTCTACGCTGTACATTTCTGCCAGCCTGTTTAGTACTGTTGTTGCCTCCTGCATACCCCCCCCCCCCCCCCCCCCTCCAGTCCCGTCTTCTGTCCTGTCGTGCCGTGCACGGCAGCGATGAACCCGAGGCGATGTGGAGGCTAGGGAGGGCCGACCTAACTTGCCTCTTTCGTAATGTGTACTGCTGCCATGTTGAATATTGCCCGGATTTGGCGGGGTAACTGCACCCTGCCTTCCCTGAATCCGTTGCCCTTAGCCACATTATGCAAAGCCACGGCCCCAGCCCTTGCCCAAACCCTAGCCAAGCCCCAGCTCCAGCCCCAGCCCCAGCCTCAGTGTCAGCGCAGTACCAATCCCAGTCCCAGCCTCATTACCAGCCCCAACTCCAGCCTCAGTGCCAGTCCCACTTCCAGTCCCAGGTCCAGTCCCAGCCTCAGTCCCAGTCCCAGCCGCAGTCCCAGGCCCAGGCCCAGCCCCAGTTCCAGTCTCAGGCCCAGTCCCAGCCTCAGTCCTAGGCCCAGCCGCAGTCCCAGGCCCAGTCCCAGCCTCAGTCCCACACCCAGGCCCAGCTGCCGTCCCAGGCCCAGGCCCAGCCGCAGTACTAGGCCCAGACCCAGCCGCAGTACCAGGCCCAGGCCTAGCCACAGACGCAGACGCAGACGCAGACTAGTCCGTCCCTGTGGTGGACTGCGGCTGGGCCCGCGCCTGGTCTAGATCAGCCTAGATGGGCCTAGATCAGCACGGCCTAACGCCGCGCTGATTACGTTATGTATGCAAACGACGATAATGTAGCCAAGGATGATTTGGGTGCAAGGGGGGGGGGGAGTGCTGGGGGGGGGGGGGGGGGTGCCGTGCTGCCTATGTTGAAGTTCGGGGTAGTCCAAGATACCAAACTGGGTTCTCATTAGGTAGTGGGCCCCTACAGGCCAGGATGAAGTTAAAGTATTAACTTCATTCTGACTCTACAAGTGAGAATGAAGTTAAGCTATCGAAGAAAATAATGGACCTTCTACAGGTCACACTGGATCTGCATGCCATAATGAGTCATGTGCAGGCCAGAACGGACGCTCTTAAGTTCAGAATGACCTCCTTAAAGAACAAAATGGGCCTGTAACGGTCAATAATAGGCTGTCCACGAAATGGTTCCCGACAGGCCAGAATCGACCCTCTCCAGCCTCAGAATTGCTCTCTTTTGGGCCGAAGGGTTCCGAAGCAACCCTTCGCCCATCCAAAGGAACCATTCGCTACCGTGCTGGCCCAGTATGAGCCCTCGACAAGCCAGAATGAATTTGTTTTTATAAATTTGATCCGAACCGTTTGAAGGGATAGATTTCTGGGATCAGCGCTCACGCTGAGCAGTGCTTGTTGTGTGAGCCTTGAACCCCGCCATCTGATCGCGCAATTCCAAGCAAAGGCAGAATTTAGTGGCGAAAGCTTAACGTGCCGCACTGCTTGGCACAGTCCGTCCTGCCCTCTGACGTCAACTGGCCTTTTAGCGCGACCGCTGCCACCAGCCGCGGACCTTACCTGCCAAGGGCAAATAGCGAGCGCCCTAAAGCTTGCACCCACCCTCCCACGGGTGGGTGGATCGGAATGCAGGCGCTCTAACCGACTGAGCCACCGGGACGGACTTTCACATACACCTTGTCCCAGCTTTCAAGTTGGGGGGGGGGGGGGTGAGTAGCCTCCACTGCCCCCTGCGCGATTATCGCGTCTTTGGCTCAGGAGACACGAGTTGCGCCACCTCCCCTGGAGGTGGCGCAACTCGCGTTGTTTTCTATGAATCCCTGACTCGTAATGGTCCCTCTCCGTTTTACTTGTATGCTTGCCTTTACCTACCCTACCTCACCTTTTACTCGCATGCTTGTATCCCAGGAGTACCACCCATACCACCCACGTCACTTCCATGGTCAACATGCAAATTTATTCTCTGTACCACCTGCGTGTACAACAGTAGGTTCTGGGAGCTGGGTAAAAACCTCTATTTTGGTAGCTTTGCAGCATATTTCTGCTTGCAGTGGAATTTTCACACCTGCCAGAATAAATACGCCTGCGTATGGTGTGTTGGGCGTTGTATTGCTCGGCCCTTGGTTTGCCCTGGTTGTTGGTGATGGTGCGCGGATGGTCGTGGGAAGCGGACGAGTGGGGAAGGGATAGGTATGTTTGAGTGACTAATCCTCAAATCGCGGTACACGATCGCTGGGCATTTCAGCCCTCTCCGTTAAGCACTGATTGCTCCAGGCGAGACCCTCCTATTGGTTACGCTGCTGAGCAGCCACCCGCGGCAGCCTTCGCCCTCATATTATGTTGTGCCTCAAGACGGACAAATGAGGACTTCTTGAGAACTAGACTCAACATAAAATTTTCCATCCAGGAACTAAATTTAAATTTCACTAGATTCTTTGATGATCATTGCTCATCTTGATGTGTCACAAGGAAATGAAAGATCTCTGGTTGATCTAGTTTACAGAAAATGTTTGAGGAGGGATTGAACCCATCACCACAACCTTTTAAAAGGGCTCCAAGTTTAGGATTCACTTTCCAGATGCTGGCCAGTCTTTAATGAACAGACAATCCCAGGTGTGTAAACAAGGTCAAATGATCAAAGCCAGTTTCTAAAAATTGCTTTACTGAGATGAGTTTTGCAACATTGTTGTGGTTAACCTCAAGCTTGCATGCCTCAAGTTTAGGACAGGACAGGTTGTGTTGAATTTTAAAATTTATCTGCAATTTTTTTTTTTTGGGGGGGGGGAATTTGGATTCAAATTACATTCACATCATCATGGCTCCCTGAAGCATTGGCTCTGTGCAATACATTTGATAATTACAGTGAGATAATACTGGTTGTTACCCAGTGTGGGGAGTGATCAGTTTTTTCTGTTAAAGGACTACACAGAATTTAAAAGATTTTTCATGAAACTGGGAATATACTCAGTCATTGTGAGTTATTTTAGCTAATAGAAATACATTTTGATTTTGCTGGGAATGAATCTCATAAGCGTGACACAACTTGCTTAACTTTCTCAGATTTTAAGCCATAGTTAAGTCATTTTAGAGATATGGTCATAGCTAGTTGTAATCATGGTTTGGAGGCATGTAAGGTTAGCAATTGGATGTTCTTAAGGAGAAAAGCTACTATCTCAGGGAAGCTTCTTTCTGCTCCTCCAAATATAAAATCAGTCTCTGGCATGTTTTGCAGACAGACAGGATCACTTTACCCACCCACACAAAATAAATATGAATTATAGCCACCAATGTTCAAAATTGAAATGTGAATGTGTTGGGACATCCCTGTACTTCAAAATTAGTAGTGTTGAATTGTAGAATGAGGATTTTCCATGTTGACTGGACATAAAGAGTGTTGCCAAACTGTTACCATAGGTAAACAGGATTATTTACAGCTACCCTGACAGGCACACTTTGATTTTTTACTCAAGGCTAGGTGCAGGCTTATCCAAGGCTGTATAAATGAACACTGGCCTGTATCAGCTGTGCCATTTCTGTCCCAAGTCTGTGTATGGGAGACTGAATTCATTTGATGTGTTCAAACTGGATTCACCAGGATTTTTCATTTTTAAGTCATGTTATGAACCAAAAACTGCATGATAAGGGTTTTCAAACATGACACTGAAATGGCCAGGTTGTGTTATGATCCAGCATCCCTGGTGAGTATCTGTTTGCTGGATCATGATGTGCCTCTGGAAAGAGCCAGTGTGCTAATTTCAGCTGTGTTGGCCATGTACCTCTCTTGGTTTTCCTTATTTTGCTGCTGCTGTAAGTGGATTGTGCTGTTTGCCATCCCACAGTCTGCTCCCACCTCTGAGAAGAGCATTGAAGAGGGCTCATAGCTGAAACAGTTGCAGCTAGCACTTCTGCTATTTCTAGAACCTTGTGTGTGAACTATGTTAATATAAACTCCATTTAAGGGTTGTTGTTTTGTTATTGTTGTTTATTTGTTTTTACCAGCATGTCTAATGCAATGATCATTTTGCACCCAGCCCCATTTAAGAGTAAACATTGTCTTGAATCATGCATTCGGGCACAGCAAAAGTATATATTTCCAGCCAAGAACTGGATTGTTTTGATTGTGAGGTTAGCGACTACTGACCAGGACGCAGAGGCATAGTGCATTGGTTTGTGAGTTGTGAGAGCACATCCCATCCGTCCCCACGGTAGCGGGTGCTGACTTGCGCAGTCAGTGGCCGAGTGTGCGCACCTGCGCCGCGGGCGGCCGCGTCCGTCGCAGTGGTGACTCAGCGCTGCCCCCGCCGGCGCCTCCGCTGCGGTCCGTCGAGCCCCGCTGCGCTGGAGGCCGTCATGACGCCCTCGCTAGGGGTGCGTGGCCGTCGTGTGACGCCGAGATCGCTGTGTCGCAGGCGGGCGTGAGGCCCTCGCCAGGGGTGCGTACCCGCCGTGTGACGCCGAGGTCGCTGTGTCGCAGGAGGGCGTGAGACCCTCGCCAGAGGCGTGTGGCCGCCGTGTGACGTCGGGCCCTCTGTGTCGCAGGCGGGCATGAGGCCATGCCGCAGCTGACGCCGTGCGCTGAGTCGCGCGCGGCGCGGCCCGGCCGCAGCCGACTGCGCGTCTACAAGGTGGTGGTGCTGGGCGAGGGTGGCGTCGGCAAGTCGGCCCTGGTCCTGCAGTTCGTCAGTCACAACTTCATCGAGTATCATGACCCCACCATCGGTGAGTCGGCGATGCGTCACGGCCACGTGTGTTTGCGGTTCGACCGCTCTGATTCAGCGAGCTGTGGCATGTCGGAAAACATTGTGGTCGTTGAGTGACGCAGGAGCTGGGGAGCACGCGCTGTCGCCAGCGGGCTTGTAACCCGACACAGATGTCGCTGGTGGGCTGAGACGCAGCATAAAGCGGGCGCTCACCCGGTGATTCGCCTCAACTAGAGACAACGACAGCCAGGACGAAGTTATTACTTTGCGAATGCATGAATTCACACGGCCCAGCTAGTGTCTTCTGTTCCATTTCTCTGTGTCTGATTGTCCAACAAACTGCGCTGTGATGTGAGTCTGTAGGCGGACAGGTAGGCACCGTGCTGGTATCAGCTCCCAGGCTGCATCACTCCCGATATCAGTGGTATGCAGTCGGCCGAGTCCGGTGCAGCGGCTCCCGTGAGAGGGCGTGGCGGGCCTGACGGCCGTTTGGCCGGGCGCTGGGAGGGCGTGGCGAACCAGGCGGCCGGTTCCGGTGCAGCCGCTCCCGTGAGAGGGCGTGGCGAGCTTGGCGGCCGGGCGCTGAGAGGGTGCGGTGTGTCCATGGCCGCAGAGGACGCGTACCAGCAGCAGGCGGTGATAGATGGCGAGCCGGCGCTGCTCGACATCCTGGACACGGCCGGCCAGGTGGAGTTCACCGCCATGAAGGAGCAGTACATGCGCTGCGGCGAGGGCTTCATCATCTGCTACAGCATCTGCGACCGTCGCAGCTTCGAGGAGGTGGCCGAGTATCGTCGCCTGTTGAGCCGCGTGCGCGCCTCTGACGACGTACCGCTGGTCATCGTCGGCTGCAAGCTCGACTTGGACCAGCGGCGCAAGGTGGGCACCGCCAGCTGGCCGGCACCTAAAGGGCACGGCACGGCACGGTAGGGGCAGCCGCGTCCACGGCCGACGCGGCACGTGGACATATATAGGTTGGCTGACGGCTACCCTGCTGAAAATATTCACAGGAAGTGGGTTTAGGTGCGTTTGAGGTCGGAGGTCAAGCATGGCCTGGCGTTAACGAACCAGAAAGATCCGATCTCTGACCGAGCCCAACCCTGCCAATCCCGTGTGGAAAAGCCGGATGTATTTCTGACTTCCGACAGACCCCCGTAGTTGTCAGCAATGTGTACAAGTTGCGTACACAAGTTGCGATGGGGTAAGGTGCAGCACGCGAGGTAACGGTGCCCTGGTGCCGGCAGGTGACGCCCGAGGAGGGCCGGGACCTGGCCCGCGAGCTGAACGCGCCCTTTTTCGAGACCTCGGCCGCATATCGCCGGTTCGTTGACGACTCGTTCCACGCTCTAGTGCGTATCATCCGCAGCCAGGAGCGAGATAAGACCGAGGTAAGCTTCTGCATCAGGAATGTGATGGACCGCTTTGTTCACACAGCTTGGGGTTCAGATCCCTTGCAGGATTCAGCTTGCTCTGAAGACCTCAAGCCCCACTGCTCATGAAGAGCAGGTCTCGTCCAACAAATACCCTTTGCTTCAGCTGTAGGTCAAACGTGTGTACGTCCCATGCAAGGGCGCGACTCGAACGCCGCACCAATCAGGCTATCTCGGCCGTTTGCCAGCGGTCGGCATTGAGGAGTCGCGTGAGCAGTACTCGGACCGGAACCACGCTCCTGTCGTATGTCGGTCAACGTATGTCCCAATCACTGCCAACTGAGCCACGGAGCCGGCGACGGGGAGGTTAGATAGCGTATGGACGGTAAGCAACGCGCGGGAAAGGCCGTGTTTCAATGAAAGGATTGTAAATGATAAAAGCGTGGTAGGCAATGGTAATAGGCATGTTGGGAAAATCCTGTGGAACCGCGGCCAGGGGTTCGGCTGGAAACTGCGTTGTCTTGTTGTTTGCAGCTGGTTTTATGTCCGCTCTGCCTGGGCCGGGTGGGGGAGTTGACCCGCTGTTGTGTGGGACTGACGCTCTGTCTGCTCTGTCTGGGCCGGGTGGGGGAGTCTGCTGCTCTAGTGTGGGACTGACGCTCTGTCCGCTCTGTCTGGGCTGGGTGGGGGAGTCGGCCCGCTGTTGTGTGGGACTGACGCTCTGTCCGCTCTGTCTGGGCCGGGTGGGGGAGTCTGCTGCTCTAGTGTGGGACTGACGCTCTGTCCGCTCTGTCTGGGCTGGTGGGGGAGTCGGCCCGCTGTTGTGTGGGACTGACGCTCTGTCCGCTCTGTCTGGGCTGGGTGGGGGAGTCGGCCGCTTTAGTGTGGGACTGGCGCTCTGTGTGGGCGGGGCGAGGGGAGGGCAGCGCTCACTGGGTGGCGGCTGACTCTCGGGCCGCCGTCCGGCCGCCGGCAGGAGGAGCAGCGGCGCCAGCGGCGGCGGACGGGCGTCGCGCCGCGCATCCGCAAGCGCTGGCACCGGCTCTGCAGCCTCGTGTCGCTGGCGTTCCGGCGCCGCCGTCGCGACCGGCTCAAGTCGCCCGCCACAGTGTAGCGGCCCGGCCACGGCCGCCGCCGCTCGTCAGGTCATGGTGCGTGACCTGGTTAGCAGAGTACGCCGACCGGCCAGCAGAGGCAGCTGCGCGGGTCATTCCCTGAGGTCTCTCAAGCAGCGGCGAGCAGCGGCCGGCCGGCGAGGACCGCTGCTCTGCTGCCGAGCGTAGCGTTGCTGCAGCGCCGCTTGGCTCGGGCCCAGCGCAGGCCGCTTCAGCAGATGTTGCTCGGCGCCTCGGCTACGTCGGCGCCGCTGTGTACGCGCCGCGGGACCGTGCGGCCGAGGGCCGTGTCGGTCGCCGCCCACGCCCTCCCTGCGCCTGCGCTCCACGGCTGAGGCACGCCCTGCACACTGGAGTGGGCGGCCGAGACGGATCAACGTGGTCGCCAGTAGCTGCAGAGAAACGTTCGGAGGCTGCGGAATGGCTATTCTGAGGACGAGAAGAGGTTCTGAGGGCTAGCCGTCGGAGGTCACGTCCTGACGCTGGTGTGGAGGCCAGACCCCGACCCGTCTGTCCCTGGAGGCAGCCCTTCCACGACCGGTGCGGGGATGGAGTTTCAGGACTGCCCTGGCTGGTACGGGCACAGAGTTCGCTGCTAAGGCTGGTCAGGGCATCCAGTTCGCTGTTGAGGCTGATGCCGGATGAACTGTTGTGGGCTGATGACTGACGCAGTGGTGGAAGTCCAGCCGCTGCGGCTGATGCGGGTGACGCTGCTTGCGCTAGTCCTATGCCGCTGCAGGCTGTATAAATCTCTACTGACCTTGTGGCCAATTGTTGGCTTTGTTTGGGGATAGGCGATAGTGCGCCGTGCCGTTGGCGGCTGATGCATGGAGTCGCTGCTAAGGCCTCGCTGAACGCGTCGTGGTGCGGCGCGCGCTCTCGCCGCCGCTTTTGTTCGTCTAGTCAGTTTACGTAGACCAATAGGGCTGGTTGTCATGTTTTATTGGTTTTGTTGCCAGAACTTGCTTTCGAAATGCGATGTTTAGAGGAGCATCGCAGAACTGCATGGTCTTCCCAGCGTACAACTTGCTTACGAGGCTTTAGAGGGGTCGAACGGCAACTCGAGACAAACGGCCGTGCCTGCCGTTATTGCGGCCACATGCGTGTTGATTGTCGGTATCATGAGCCAGCGCGAGACGTCCAGGCTGTTCAGGTCGTCTCGTCGGGGCCTCGGCAGAGAAGCGGGGGCGCAGCGTCTCACAACCGATCGGCGTATTTACTCTTGCTTTGCGGTCGGTCCTGACACTAGTGTTCAGTTTCATAACCGAATTAATGGATGTCTTTTTAAGTTATGTCTTGTTAGCGTGGAAGCTGTGACCTTGTTTGCCTCACTGACTTACTCCAGCTCGTAACGCACACTACAGTATAGAAACGGCTTAGGTGTCCTTTCGCTTGATGAAATCGACTGGTGTTTTTTTTGTGTGTGCACATTTTATTGTTCTCGGCCGGATCATGTTTTAGTAGATTGCATCTTAACATCACAGGTGCTGTTCAAGCCCATAGACATTCGGCTGCATACAGCCAGGCTCTGTGATAGGAAGACGGATTTCGTGTTCGCACAAGTGTGCAGTGTACAATGGCGCACCAGCACAACGAATTGCTGACCAAGGCGCGCTTTGGCGAGCGGTTATTCCGCCGTGCTACAGCTGAGCCCGGGCAGCAGCTGTGCCTCTGTAAGCTAACGACTGTTCCCCACCTGACTGGAGCCGATGGCCATCGCTGTAATAGGTATTTGCCGGTGCTTATAATACACGTGACGGCTGACGGCGTCTCTCCACCCGGAAAAACTGAGCAAGGACCGCTGTGTGGCGGGGCAGCTAACTTAGGTGGGAAGTGCATTCCGAGGCCAACGGCCTGGATGGATCCGTTCCACTCCGACGTCGCTCGCGACCGCGCGGCCCATCACCTCAGTCCCAGCTTACCAGCGTCGCCTTCTGTATTCCTGCATGCGAAAATAAATACATATCCAGAGCCATATGATTCAGAGAACACATCAGTGATCAGTTCAAACACTAAAACGTTCGCTCGCACTCGCGCATCACTAAAAATTACGTCAACGACGGCGAGCTGACTGGTAGCAGACGAGTCACAGCACCGCTGGGGAACGCGCGACTGTGTGGACGTCGAATCAAAGCACGGCAATTCGTTCCACCACCACACGGCGCCAATGAAGTGTGGCAGCAGGCACGGACAAGCTGAAGGAGCTGGGCTGGAGCGATGTGTCCTACACATAGGAAATCTCGGCAGTAGCTTATGCGCCGTTGCGGCAACCTGGGAGCGCGCGGCTTATGTTTCACACGAAGATTACCGCGCATTGGGGCGTTTTCGGCGCAAATTAGTACTCTTTCTAAACCCTCACGAATAAGCTGGCTGCTGGACTGTAGCAAACATGATCTGTTAAATATTTTCCCTAACGCTGGGCAGCAGCGCTCGTCACGTTGCTAGAAATTCGCTGGTGCAGCCACCAGCGCGCTGCTGGGCACAAACGTCATCTTTGGTGCGCATGACAGGGACGGCTTTCCATTTTGAGGACAGAAATAGCTGCCCTCGAGAGCCATGGCGATGGGATTTTCTCACGAAGTACTAGGCATGGCATTATTTTCCATTTCCTACACCAACTTAAACTGAACGGGCCAAATGCTCCCCGAATTCATACAGCCCACCGCGTCCATGTCATACGACTTCAACGGCACCACGCGTCAGAAGCTATCCTGAGCCGTGTTCAACACGGGGCTAATAAATAAATAAATGTAAAACTAATTAACATCGCTTCATGCATACACGAGGTAGGGGTGCAAAGATATAACTAAAGGATCTAGGACTTGCGGAGTTGAAAGACAGACCGTACCACGAACGCTAGCAGGGGATGCAACAGGCGGGCCCATTACCACGCAACACACACGTATTCTCAACAGGCCCTTTCACGGCAGTTCCTACCAACAGATCGCTTCACGACGACAGTTGCTCCCAGCAGACCCCTTCACGGCAGTTCCTCGCGGCCTTTCGCTGACGCCGACGCCCCGGCACGAGGTACACATCTCACCACCCGTTTTCCCAGGGAACAGATCAAACAGGAGCCGGCCTCCAGAACACCACCTCTGCACATTCCCGTGCACTCCCTCATCCGCCACTCTACGTACACCACACACACACGCCGAGTATTTTGTGGGGCGGGTCGGCGGCAGCAGCGTCGACGGGCGGTCTCGGCCAGCGCCAGGCGGGGACCGGGCCGGTCCAGCCGCCCGGTCGGCCGGGTTACACTGGCCCGCTGGGACCAGGCACGTGCCCCGAGGGCGCCACGCCACCTCCGAATCCCCGCCTGATGCGATGACAACACACACACAAGCCTAATTGCAACAGCTTAGCCACTCATCCTCGGTTTGAACCGCAAGGTACCAGTCTGGGTACCCCACGCACACACACACACACACGCACTGGTCGTCAGTTGTCTCTCCCAGAGCCTCAGGTCTTGGTGACGTCCCTGGTCGGGGCTGTCGGCCGGGCGGAGACGAGGCGGCTGGGTGCGAGGCGGAAGCCCAGGAACGTGAGCCTGACCGCCGCATGGCGAGGCCCGTCAGCAGCCGCCGGCAGCAGCGGCTGCGGCTAGCGGTTCAGCGCCTCTTCGCTCAGAGCCGGCCCTAGCTGGTGATGCAGCCGAGCGCGGCGACTGCCGCTAGCGGTTCAGCGCCTCCTGGCTCGGAGCCGGCCCTAGCTGGGCAGTAGCCACCGACGCCGGCCCGTCCCCGCGCTCAGGCTCGGAGCCGGTCCTAGCTGGTGATGCAGCCGAGCGCGGCGACTGCCGCTAGCGGTTGAGCGCCTCCTGGCGGCTGGTCCGAGGAGTCGCGTTCCTGAGAACGGTCCGAGAGAGTGCGTCACGCCCCGTGGTCGGACGGGCGGCGAGTGGACACCGGCCCGGAGACGAGCACATGCTGAGCACACCTCGCGTGTCGACGCTCAACGCCTGACGACACAAGGCTCGTCATGCATCAGCTTAAGAGAGGTGATTTTCTTCACCTGATAGCCAACTATATCACGTGACATCAAGTCTGATTGCTTGTCCCTCACAATCAGTTCATTTGAAGAACACGGATAGACAAAAAACAAAACAAAAAAGCGGACATGCTGTGCAAGATAGTTTGGTTGGCATCAGGCACGCGTCTAACACACCTTAAAAGTATGTGATCAGGCACTCGTGTTGCAAATAACGCTCATTCAAACCGTATCTGATTGTAGCAGGCACAATATGTACCGACGCACACAACCAAGAACGGAACCCGGACGCCAGAGCCAATAAGCAAAGCATAAAACATCGAGTAAGACTGCCGCAATTGTGCTCAAAATGGGCAACAACACAGCGGCTATGCAACGACATTAGTAGTAAACGCATCCACTTACGTCCTCCACAGGTTGTCTAAAACAATGAGTTTGAGTTATTATAACGCCATCGCTTATGATACACCATTATAATGCACCATGTTTCCTGATGCATCAGCACAAATGAGAACCCAATGAATTTTCGGCAGCCATATACGATTTAACCCTAGGGTGGTCAGTCAGCTCTACACACACCTGTTTGAGCTGCATTACGCCACCTTTAAGCCATGTGGCTGTCGATCAATTAGCCTACCGGACAAGATCAGACTCAGATCAGGCTCAGGTCAGGCTCCGATTTCGCTCAGGTCAGGCTCAGATCAGGCTCAGATCAGGCCCAGGTCACGCTCAGATCAGGCTCAGATCAGGCCCAGGTAAAGCTCAGATCAGGCTCAGAACAGGCCCAGGCCGGGCTCAGATCATGCTCAGATCAGGCCCAGGTCACGCTCAGATCAGGCTCAGATCAGGCCCAGGTAAAGCTCAGATCAGGCTAAGATCAGGCCTAGGTCACGCTCAGATCAGGCTCAAATCAGACTTAGATCAGACTCAGGTCTAACCACACTTTCGCACGGGTACGGTTCTACCAGGACGATCAAACTGCGCTGCAAAGTGATTCTCCCGGATGGATGCATTCTGAGGATGTCCCACCATGAATCCATCAATGAAGCATCCAATAGGACCCTCGTCTTGTACGTTTTAAAATAATTCATCCATTGCTGAGCTAATACTCTGAGTCTGGCCGTGCCGTTATCAGGTCTAACAGAACAGCCGCGGCCATGTATAACAAGCTGGGCCGGGTGGACGCATTCTGCGACCGGAAACTCCTGCAAATGTCCGCGCGGTAAAGATCGCACATTCTGGAACTAGCATCGAGTGAAAGTATCCTTTTCATGCTGCAGATTTTCGCTTTGTTTGTGTAGTTATAGCCATGTGAATTGCACCACGGGACCACAGATCAGATGACGCAATATCGCACGAAAATAATCCACTGTGGGTGCCGTGACGGGTCCGCACGGGAGGTATACAAAAGCCCACGTTATTGGAACAGGGGCGGGGGGGGGGCGTCCCTGCTGAGAGTTGTACCGTGTTGAAAAGATAAAAATCCGCTAACTGAAGCATGTTTCAACTATTTCATCCCTTCCAGCTGATCAGTGGACTGTTTCAGCGAAGCTGACTGGTGGTTTACGAGGCATCTATCACTAAAAATAACACATACCGATCCAGCACCCGCGCGAAGCGCACTGATAGCCCGATCGGCATCGTCCTGAGCGAGCTGAGCACTGCACGAACAGAACATCAGGCCACACCATACCAGAGCGTTACAGTGCGCCGAGAATGGATCGTTGCCTGTACCCGTCAGATGGCGAGCGCTAACCATGGTCCGCCCGGCCGCCGCCACCGCCGCCGCCATCACCCACCTGTTGAGCGTCATGTGGCTCTTGACGAGGTGCCCGGCGCTCTGAGCGGCCAGCAGCGACAGCTCGCCAGCCAGCACGGTGGCGCACACCACGCTGGCCAGCTGTCGGGCGTTCTGACCCGGTTGGCTAGCGTTGGCGCCTGCCGGAGAGCCGAGCGTCACGTTGACGGGCGACGAGAGAGGCTGCGGCCGCGGCCCCCAGAGAGGGTGCGGCCGCAGCCCCTAGAGAGGGTGCGGCCGCGGCCTAGAGAGGGTGCGGCCGCGGCATAGAGAGGGTGCGGCCACGGCCTAGAGAGGGTGCGGCCGCGGCATAGAGAGGGTGCGGCCGCGGCCTAGAGAGGGTGCGGCCGCGGCCCCCAGAGAGGGTGCGGCCGCGGCCTAGAGGGTGCGGCCGCGGCCCCCAGAGGGTGCGGCCGCGGCCCCTAGAGAGGGTGCGGCAGCGGCCTAGAGAGGGTGCGGCCGCGGCCCCTAGAGAGGGTGCGGCCGCGGCCTAGAGAGGGTGCGGCCGCGGCCTAGAGAGGGTGCGGCCGCGGCCTAGAGAGGGTGCGGCCGCGGCCTAGAGAGGGTGCGGCCGCGGCCTAGAGGGTGCGGCCGCGGCCCCAGAGGGTGCGGCCGCGGCCCCTAGAGAGGGTGCGGCAGCGCCTAGAGAGGGTGCGGCCGCGGCCCTAGAGAGGGTGCGGCCGCGGCCTAGAGAGGGTGCGGCCGGCATAGAGGGTGCGGCGCGGCCTAGAGAGGGTGCGGCGGCCGCGAAGAGAGGGTGCGGCCGCAGAATAGAGGGTGCGGCCGCGGCCTAGAGAGGGTGCGGCCGCGGTCCCTAGAGAGGGTGCGGCCGCGGCCTATAGAGGGTGCGGCCGCGGCCTAGAGGGTGCGGCCCGCGGCCTAGAGAGGGTGCGGCCGCAGAATAGAGGGTGCGGCCGCGGCCTAGAGAGGGTGCGGCCGCGGCATAGAGAGGGTGCGGCCACGGCATAGAGGGTGCGGCCGCAGAATAGAGGGTGCGGCCGCGGCTTAGAGAGGGTGCGGCCGCGGCATAGAGAGGGTGCGGCCGCGGCATAGAGAGGGTGCGGCCACGGCATAGAGGATGCGGCCGCGGCCTGGAGAGGGTGCGGCCGCGGCTTAGAGAGGGTGCGGCCACGGCATAGAGAGGGTGCGGCCGCGGCCGAAAGAGGGTACGGTCGCGGCCGAGAGAGGGTGCGGCCGCGGCCGAGAGAGGGTGCGGCCGCGGCATAGAGAGGGTGCGGCCGCGGCATAGAGAGGGTACGGTCGCGGCCGAGAGAGGGTGCGGCCGCGGCATAGAGAGGGTGCGGCCGCGGCATAGAGAGGGTGCGGCCGCGGCATAGAGAGGGTGCGGCCGCGGCGTAGAGATGGTGCGGCGCGTGGCATAGAGAGGGTGCGGCCGCGGCATAGAGAGGGTGCGGCCGCGGCATAGAGAGGGTGCGGCCACGGCATAGAGGGCGGGCGCAGATAGAGGGTGCGGCTGCGGCCTAGAGAGGGTGCGGCCGCGGCATAGAGAGGGTGCGGCCGCGGCATAGAGAGGGTGCGGCCACGGCATAGAGGGTGCGGCCGCGGCATAGAGAGGGTGCGGCCGCGGCATAGAGAGGGTGCGGCCGCGGCATAGAGAGGGTGCGGCCGCGGCATAGAGAGGGTGCGGCCGCGGCATAGAGAGGGTGCGGCCACGGCATAGAGGGTGCGGCCGCAGAATAGAGGGTGCGGCCGCGGCCTAGAGAGGGTGCGGCCGCGGCATAGAGAGGGTGCGGCCACGGCATAGAGGGTGCGGCCGCAGAATAGAGGGTGCGGCCGCGGCCTCGAGAGGGTGCGGCCGCGGCTTAGAGAGGGTGCGGCCGCGGCATAGAGAGGGTGCGGCCGCGGCATAGAGAGGGTGCGGCCGCGGCATAGAGAGGGTGCGGCCGCGGCAGAGAGGGTGCGGCCGCGGCATAGAGAGGGTGCGGCCGCGGCATAGAGAGGGTGCGGCCGCGGCCGAGAGAGGGTGCGGCCGCGGCATGATAGGGTGCGGCCGCGGCATAGAGAGGGTGCGGCCGCACGAGAGAGGGTGCGGCCGCGGCATAGAGAGGGTGCGGCCACGGCATAGAGGGTGCGCCGGCCTAGAGAGGGTGCGGCCGCGGCTTAGAGAGGGTGCGGCCGCGGCATAGAGAGGGTGCGGCCGCGGCATAGAGAGGGTGCGGCCGCGGCATAGAGAGGGTTGCGGCCGCGGCCGAGAGAGGGTGCGGGCCGCGGCCGAGAGGGTGTGGCGCGGCATGGAGAGGGTGCAGCCGCGGCATAGAGAGGGTGCGGCCGCGGCATAGAGAGGGTGCGGCCGCGGCATAGAGAGGGTGCGGGCGGCGGAGAGGTGTGGCCGCGGCATAGAGAGGGTGCGGCCGCGGCATAGAGAGGGTGCGGCCGCGGCCGAGAGAGGGTGCGGCCGCGGCCGAGAGAAGGTACGGCCGCGGCCGAAGGAGGGTACGGTCGCGGCCTGTATGGACCCTCTCCCAGACACACGTCAGCTAAAGACGCCGGCGCGGCGGCAACAGATTCGAGCACAATTTTCACAACACACCGGCATGAAGGCAATGCTGAAAAGCACATTTCGTGCACATCAGTGCTACAAATGTCGCCGATACACCAAGATGTTAAACCACGTGCCACAACAGCTAGAGGAGCTCGGAGGACGTAAGCCACGACAGCAACGCCTGCTCGTCCTTGAACCGGCACACTCGCCAGTCGTCCCCGCCCGGTACCCATCCCGTCATCCGTTGCCGCCCGGTACCCGCCCCGTCAACCGCCACCACCAGGTACTTACCCTGGCAGCCGAGCATGCGCAGGCAGGCGCGCTGCGCCTTGAGGACGGTGCCGCCACCCACCGTGCCCACCTCCAGGCAGGGCATGGTGCACGTGACGTACAGGTCCTCGCCCGTCTCGCCCCACGGCTCCAGCAGCGTCATGCAGTTGCTGCTGCACACGTTCTGGGCCGGGTCCTGCCGAGCAGAGGTCCCCGGCGCGTGTCGACGGGGTTGACGGGAGTCATACAAGCGGGCGGCGAGACGCGCGCACGTCGCACGCAGCGAAGGCCTCACCGATCAGCCATTTAAACGCACGCATAAAGAACCCTTGAGTATACACAAGCAAGGGCGTACACCGGTGATGATACTACCACTTCTCAGAGACACAATTGTCACAGCTAGCCACACATGACGGGGCATGCAATTAGAAATACGCTGGAGGTAGCCTCTGTCGAGAAAGTTGGGCTCATTTGCTGATCCTGCTAACCTCCAGGTCGTTCAAGCGAGAGTAACAAAACGTCCCACCACACGCGTCACAGCCCTCCGCTGCCCTCTCTCGGCACCCGCCGAAGCCTGACCTGGCCAGTGGCAATGTAGATGGCGGTGACAATGTTGGCGGCGTGCGCGTTGTTGCCGCCGATGCTTCCTGCTACCGCCGAGCCGATCAGGTTCTTCTTGATGGCCAGGTTCACCATGGCCGGCACGGTGGTCTTCAGCACGCTGGTGACCACATCGGCCGGCACCACCGCCTCGCAGATGACCGACTTACCGCGGCCGCGGATCCTGCCGAGACGCCGCCACCATCAGACGCCGGTCCACACTACCACCCGCGAGAGGCGCGTGGAGCGTCACAGCAGTCCTATCGGCCGACACCGCACGCTTGGTAACAGGACGCTTGGCTTAAAGCTGGGTCCGTCCTAATGACTGCCCTAGTTATCGACTCTGGCGAAAATCCACAACGCATTGTGATGCTGTCGAACACCCGTAGCGAGTCCGGACGCGCAGGTGGCACCCTCTGCCGCCGTCCGGCGCTCCGAGCTCGCTCCCGGTCCTCCCCATTGTCTGCCGCGGGCTGGGTTCCAAGTGGCGCCACCCGACCGACCGCCCACGTCCGGGCACGCACCAGTTCACGGCCGACGGCTTCTTGTCCGTGCAAACGTTGCTGCTGACGCTGGTGATGACGATCTCGGGGAAGAGCTGCTGTATGTGCTCCAGCGCCTTCTCCGTCCCCTGCAGCAGGCAGCGGCACAGTGTGACGTGCCCTTACAACGGCGCGGCAACATCAGACAGCCCACGGCAAAACGTTACTATTCAAGTCTTACGTGTTCCATCTGCTCGCGCCCCCTTCAGTCAGACCACGGTCATGCAGACCAGACACGAGCGCTGCGAGACGGTAACTGTCTTAACACGCGAGGCGAGCAGGCGGCGCCGACCCCGGCGGGCGGTGCCCCAGGCAGTACACCGCCGCTCGGGGCAGCGGCGTACCGAGGTGCAGCAGCACTGGCGGCGCGAGCAGGGGTGGACTCAGGCGCACGCCGGTAACATCATGGTACAGCTACCTTTTATCATGAAGTGGGTTGCTTGAATAGAGGGACAGAACGACTCACCACGGTTCAGCCACCAATGCACATTTCCCTAAAAAAACAAAACCCTTTTGAAAGGCAATAAGCGGTCTTCCACCTTTGAAATCCCTCCACCCACCCACCCTATGGAGACGTCGCCGCTGCCATTACGCTCACCTTGGACACCATGTTCATGCCCATGGCGTCGCCCGTCTTGGCCACGAAGCGGACGAACAGCTGACGGCCGAACATGCTGACCTCGACGTTCTTGAGGCGGGCGAAGCGTGACGTCGAGTCGAAGGCCAGCTTGACGGCGTGGAAGCCGTCCGTCGTCTCCAGCCAGAACAGGATGTCACTGCGCGACGGCCACACAGTGGAGAGATCAGCGCCCGCCGCACTCGACCAGACAGCGGAGAGATCAGCGCCCGCCGTACTCGGCCAGACAGAGGGGACATCAGCGCCCGCCGCACTCGGCCAGGCAGAGGGGACATCAGCGCCCGCCGTACTCATCCAGATAGAGGGGATATCAGCGCCCGCCGTACTCGGCCAGACAGCGGACAGACCACTCGGCCGGCTGTGTGCATTCTCCAATACTCCGGCTTCCACTCGCAGAGGGACTGACTGGCTCGGAAAGAGCGAGGCCCAGGGCCCAATGCAGGACACAAAGCAGCCGCCGCCGTAGCCGCCGCGAAAATGGGGTAACGTCTGGCGCAGCGCGATACAGACAGTGCCGCGAAAACCAGGCAGTAAAACCAGACAGCAACGCAACACCAGACAGCACCGCAAATGCCAGACAGCACTGCGAAAACCAGCGCCGCTCGTAAGTTACCCCTTCCCCTCCCCTCCCCTCAGCCAGTTTCAGAGAGTGTTTGGAAGCAATGCGGTCCCAACTACAAATCAGCGACGCCTGGTACATAGTGTACGGGTGGATGATCGGTCTGGAGCTGGCGCCAGCACCGCCGGCTGGGCCGGGCTCGGGGGCCGGACCGCCAGGCCTGCGCTGACGACGGGGGAGCGCCGAGCCGACACCCGGCTGGCCGTGCCTCTCCGTCAGCGGGCACGCACCTCGCCTGCTTGGCCGACACACACTCGATGACCGGCGCCCGGGTCATGCCGTCGCCCACGATGTAGCTGTTGACGCCACACTTGCGCACGGCCAGACAGCCGCGGTTGGTGCTGGCCACCAGCGCTCCTGGGGGAGGGGCGGGGCACGGCCCGGTCAGAGCAGCGTCAGGTACCTGCTGCGCGTCACAGCGGAACACGGGAGGTGCGGGGTGCCGCGCGAGATGAGACGAGACCATATGCCCGTTCAGGTGCCACGCATGCACACACACTGCAGTATAACATGTTCTTCAACAAGCCGGCAACACTGGACACCGCCGCAGCGACGGACGCCGCACTGAGCCACCCGTGGGCCCCAGCACCGGCTCACACCGGCCCGCCACCCGCCAACGCCGCCTACCTTCGGTGGTGGCCAGCGGCACGTAGTACTGCCTGTTGTCGAGCGTGAGCGGCCCCACCACGCCCAGCGGCAGCGGCATGAAGCCCACCACGTTCTCGCAGCAGGCGCCCATCACGCGCTCGTACTCGTATCCCCGGTACGGCAGCTCGTCCATGGCGTCCAGCAGGTGGCCGGCCTCGGTCACGTGCTGGCGGCGCACGTCCACGGCCCGCTCCGGGTCGGCCAGCCGCGCCTCCAGCTGGTAGGCGCGCAGCCGGCGCGCGCGCAGCAGCGCCAGCAGCTCGGCGTCCGACAGCGAGTCGGCGCCCTCCTCCTGTCGGCGGCCGACAGGCGGCGCCGGTCAGCAGCGTCGCCCCACTGACGGGTTCCCAGGCCCGCGCTGGACGAGCTCAGGGAGTGGCAAGACGCAGGATCGAGTCCGGACTGGGGCCGTGGGGGACAGGAGCTCCACTGAGTCGGGTGACGTGAGATGACTCGGACCTGAGTCGGACTCGGCAACTGGAAAAGCTATGGAGTCGGACTGAGAGTCAAGCCTCAGACTCGGACCCGAAGGCGCGTCAGACACGGACCCGACAATGTGGAAAACTTACGACACGAGTTAGGTTTGAACTCAAACCTGGTGGATCACTAATGTACTTACTAGAACCAACGTAAGCCGAGCTTATCCAGTGTCATGTCTATGTTGGAAGGCACATACACATCATAAGTGAATAACTGCCATTCTCGTTCCGCCAATAAAATGGTCATCAAAGAACCTGCGTTAAAAAGAAACATGTCTGGTTTAGAGACCGCCTTCTGACGTAGTCATGACATCGAAAAACCCCCACCATAACGCTACTCATTATCAATCACATCTGAGCAAAAACGGGCGCTTAACACGTCCGTGCTTGCGCTGGTGGCTGTGCTTCCCCCATCCTCGCCCCTCCCCCATGCTGCAGTGGATGGACTGGTTTGAATGTGGGAAGAACATCTAGGGATAGGAATGTGCGACCGAGTGGCAGCATCCCCCTCTCAAAAAACACAACTCTTGAAGAGCTGTTGAAAACCTTTAAAAAGTTAAGCGACTTATAAAGGGGCACCAAGTCATTATCAACAACAAAAAACACAGAACTCACCTCCATGAGTGACGCACTTGACCCAATGCACCAACATCTTTAAAAGGTACGTACGTTGAGCACGGAAAATTATTCATGTTTCTGTGTCCCTGTGTGCCTTTGCACCCCACATCCAAAAACCTTTGGGCACTGTTACGGCACCTGTTCACACTAAATATCACTCGTTGTCTTAGCTTTTCAACTCGGTCAGACATTCGTCACACGAAACTAAGATATCTCAACGACACAGTCTGCCTCGCACTGCATGAGCAAGAGCACGTGCCGCTGGCTGATGCAGTCTCTCCGCTAGAACGCCCAGACCCCGGCGGTGCTGCACACTCCGGTGTCGACCGCTGACCGCCTGCAGAGGTCAGACGAGCTCTGAGCGGCCGCTCACCTCCAGCGCGCGGACACAGTCGTCGAGCGGCCGCGGCGGGCGCGGCTCGTCCGGCGCCGGCTCGTCCGGCGTCGGCTCGTCGGGCGGCGTCTGGCAGCTGGCGTCGGCCGAGGCGGCCGGCGGCGGCAGCTCGTCCACCTTCACCTCGCCGTCCGAGTCCTCCGTGATGAGCACCGAGGTGCAGCGGCGCCGCAGCCGCGGACGCAGCACGCGCACTGTCGGACAAGGCAGGGTAGGGTAGGGGTCAGCTGGCGCTGTCACTGTCGGACAGGACAGGGCAGGGGTTGGCTGACGCTGTCACTGTCGGACAGGACAGGGCAAGGGTCAGCTGGCGCTGTCACTGTCGGACAGGACAGGGTAGGGGTTGGCTGACGCTGTCACTGTCGGACAGGACAGGGCAGGGGTCGGCTGACGCTGTCACTGTCGGACAGGACAGGGCAGGGGTCAGCTGGCGCTGTCACTGTCGGACAGGACAGGGCAGAGGTTGGCTGACGCTGTCACTGCCGGACAGGACAGGGCAGGAGTTGGCTGACGCTGTCACTGTCGGACAGGGCAGGGCAGGGGTCAGCTGTTGCTGTCACTGTTGGACGGGCCAAGAGTTAGCTGAAGCTGCCACTGTCGGACAGGGTATGGTAGGTGTCAGTTGACACTGTCACTGTCGGAAAGGGCAGGGCCGGCGCCAGGTGACGCTGTCACTGTCGGACAGGGTAGGGGTCAGCTGGCGCTGTCACTGTCGGACAGGGCAGGGCTCAGTTGTCACTGTCACTGTCGGACACCGCAGGGCACGGGTCAGCTGACGCTGTCACTGGCCTGTCACAGTCAGATAGGGAGGGATCAGCTCAGCTCTGCAACTGTGGCTTAGCTCAGTGTCCTGCAGCTGCCAGAGGGCTCTGCAAGGGCTCTGGTCAGTGTCTCCACCAACAGCTGGCCCGCGCGCAGTACTGATTGCGGCGACCATTCGACGGAATCATTGAGGCTGTCGCAACCGGGTTTATTTGGCGCTCGAACCTGGACAGGGTCACTGTTACCAGCTTCATCAGCTAAGTGGCCAGTTAAAATTAACGGCACAGCCACAGGCGGCCCGGTGAAACCAGGTCAATAAAATTATCCAGTTTAGCTACAGCATTCTATTAGGGGTCTTGCCCCTCCGAAACGTTAAGTCGCGCCCTCAATGTGAGGCACGAATCACTCAAAACGTTGATAAAAGGTAATCACAATAGCCAAAAGTGAGTTGTTCGGGAGGCCGGTTCTACAAAACAACTCTCCGGGATCTACATAAGTCAAGGGGCACGTGCGCGGGTCCCGGTCTGCGGGGCACCGACTCACACATGGCTTGGTCGTCGGCCCCCACGCTGAGTCGGATCTGCTCGGCGTCGGCCTGCTCGAACAGCACGTACTTGACCACCAGCGCCACCACTATGATGAGCACCACCAGGTGCTCGGCGCTGACGCTCATCCACCTGCCGGACGCAGCGCCGAGGTCAGGGCACCGAGGTCAGGGCACCGAGGTCAGGGCACCGAGGTCAGGGCACCGAGGTCAGGGCACCGAGGTCAGGGCACCGAGGTCAGGGCACCGAGGTCAGGGCACCGAGGTCAGGGCACCGAGGTCAGGGCACCGAGGTCAGGGCACCGAGGTCAGGGCACCGAGGTCAGGGCACCGAGGTCAGGGAACCGAGGTCAGGGCACCGAGGTCAGGGCACCGAGGTCAGGGCACCGAGGTCAGGGCACCGAGGTCAGGGCACCGAGGTCAGGGCACCGAGGTCAGGGCTACCGAGGTCAGGGCACCGAGGGTCAGGGAACCGAGGGCACCTGACCTCAGCGGCAAGACGCCGCACCAGTATTGATCTGAGCAGGAGGACACCACACCAGTTCTGGACCTGAGGAGCAGGACGCCACACCAGCACCGACCTGAGCAGGACGCTGCACCGGCACTGATCTGAGCAGGACGCCGCACCAGCACTGACCTGAGCAACAGGACGCCGCGCCAGCACTGATCTGAGTAGCCATACGCCACACCAGTATTGACCTGAGCAGGTCGCCACACCAGCACTGACCTGAGCAGCAGGACGCCGCACCAGCACTGACCTGAGCAGCAGGACGTCTCCCCAGCACTGACCTGAGCAGGACACCGTACGGGCTGGGGATGGGCGCGTCACAGCTGTCCACGTCGCCGGCGCCTCCGAACAGCGAGGCTGCTCCGTCCGTAGCGACGCTGGGCCAGCGACTGCCGACAGCGGGGTCCATTCAGAGGCGCGCCCCGCCCGGCGTCACGGCCGTCACGTCACGCCTTCAGGACGCCGGCGGCGCCAGGCCGCGCCGGCGGAGCTCGCCGCTCTGGCGCCGGGCGGCGGCCGTCGGACATCCCGCCGCCGACGAGACGCCCAGCACGGGACGACAGGCTCGTCGACTCGACGACGTCACGGCGGGCGTCACAGCCGTCACAGGTGGGAATGTGCCCGGCGGCCGGCTGCCGGCGTCACAGCCGCGGCGCCACTGGTCGCCGGCCGGCCGCGTCGCGGGCCGTCAAGTTTAGAGTGGGGGAGGGCGGAGGGGGGGGGAGGGATGCCGCTCCAAGGTCCCAGGCCCGTCTGTATCACGACAGGTACGTCACGTGGTGTGTGGGCTCTGCACGAGTGGACTTTAACAGCTCGCAAGCTACCGCCAGACCCTCAGAGGTTCAGACCCGCGACACATTTGTGAAACCTGAGGACCTCGGAGTTAATGGAGTGGCTGGAGTGGTGCTGATAGAGGGTCTGACGCACGCTCCCTATGACTGGAATGCTGCTGACATGGGGTCAGTGGTGCGCCTCCTATGACTGGAACGGTGCTGACAGAGGGTCAGGAGCATACTCCCTATGGCTGGGGTGGTGCTGACAGAGAGTCGGTGGCACGCTCCCTATGACTGGAATGCTGCTGACATAGGGTCAGTAGCACGCTCCCTATGACTGGGGTGGTGCTGACATAGGGTCAGTAGTGCGCCTCCTATGACTGGAATGGTGCTGACAGCAGGTCAGGGGCATGCTCCCTATGACTGGGGTGGTGCTGACAGAGAGTCAGTGGCATGTTCCCTATGAAGTGTATCCCTTTACTTCAAACGATATGACGCACGTCTTCGAAGCGGTGAGCATATCACTTGTTGTTATACGATTGTTGAGGTTAGATGAACGCCTCGCCCGTTGGTAATGCCGCTCGATTGAAAACAGAGCCCTAGGCCACATGCTGGGTAAGTACTCGCAATATTCACGGCAAAACATGGCTTTGGTAACACGACATTGATTTATGAAAAGCCAATCCAGGGGTCTGATATGGCTAGCAATTGCACAAACAAACAGTCCAAGCGGATGTGGCACAAACCTACTGGAAAAGTACCACACGCACACATCATATGTAAGCACGCACATGAGCTCAAGCAACGTGGCAGTAAAACACGGTACTAAATTGTAATGAAGGTGATGCACGGTAATGAAGATGCATCAACTGGAGGCTTCACAGAGTTCTACAGCGGCAAGGGCCAGCACTCACCGCACCAACAATGCCCGCTAAAAACACTCCGACAAAGACCGCACGCCAGACAGCGACAACTGATAACACTGTCCAGCACAAATGCCTTCAACAAAGCTTTCCTTTCTCGGTCCTCGCCTGACAGTGAATGTTGCACAGTGGCGCCGAAATAGCCCGTTGGCGGGGCGATCTCGACCCGTAGCCGTGACCCCGAGCCCCTAGGGGGAGCGGGGGGGGGGGGCGTCGGCGGCCCGGACACTCACCTGACAAAGTGCACGAAGGTCAGACCGATCGACATGATGATTTTGACCCGCTGGATGACGATGTTGGGCTTCTGCTCGTCCTCCTGCAGCAGGCTGGCCAGCGACTTGATGTGCCACGGCTGCGTGTCGGCCTCCACATCACTCGACATCTGGCGGTGGTACGCCCGAAGGTCAGGGGCGGCACACAGAGGGAGGACAAAGGCACACACGGGGTCAAGGACGGCATACAGAGGGTCGGGGACGACACGCAGAGGGCGAGGAACAGCACACAGACGACCAGAGATGGCACACAGAAGGAGAGGAGCAGCACACGGAGGGCCAGGGACGGCACACGGTGTCAGGGACCGCACACAGAGGGAGAAGAACGACACACAGGGGGCCAGGAATGGTACAGAAAAGGATAAAAACAGCACATCGATGGAAAAAATGGCACACTGAGGACCAGAGATGGCGCAGAGAATCAGGAACAGCACACGGAGGGTCAGACACACCACACAGAGCGTATATAATGACATGACACATAACGTGACAGATGGCACACATAGGGTCAGAGACAGCACATACCAGACGTCAGGCGGTACACGTGAAGCCGGGAGTCACAGCACGCACAGATATTCAGAGATCGTACGGAAACGACCGTGGACGACGGCCGCGGGCCAGTGGCCAGTCTCTGACGCCTGTTTTGTTGTGTCTCGTCATGCAGGTCTCTGGATAGCAGGACCAATACCGCAGCAGCAGCGGTGGCTTCGGGTCCGTTCCAAAACGCTCGGTCGCATCACACGCGGCATCATACTCTCTATGCCATGCACATCATCATGGTTTGTACGGATTCAGCTTCCGAGTGCGTGCTTAATGACATACGGAACGTCCTCTCGATGGAGAACGACACAATAGCCGAACAGCAAGTCATGCAACCAGGTCATTTGGGTCCAGGAACGCCCTTTTTGGGCTCTTTTCCACGATGAAACGACATTTGACTATCAGCTCAGCTCTTTTAAGTGCAAGCAAACTTCATCCTCGCAGCATTCGCATGTGCCTTCCATCCACCTGCGATCGCAGCAGTTGCACATTTCGCAACGTCAAATGAACAAACAAGCATCGGCCCCACGGCAGGACCGACACACAATATCTCGTCCGGTGGCGCGTCATGTCAAGGAGTGCGACACAAGAGCTTGTCACAGCCGGACGACACTTCACTGATGACAGACTGCGCCACCCAGCTAGTCGCACGTACGTCAAGTGCCGATGACGGTGCGGCGCTAGCCCGCCTGACAGGGACGGAGGGCATGTCACGCTCCGCTGCGGGCCGGCAGAGCGCGTCGGGTGGCCGATACATGACCCGGAAAGTCACACGTAACAGGGTCCGACCCAGGCCGGGGCGGGGCTGGGGACAGGCGGACGTTACCTGCAGCACCAGCGAGAGGCAGGCCGGGTAGAAGGTCATGAACATGAGGTAGCTGATGACGGCTGACATGCAGGCGTAGCAGCAGAGCACCTCCAGTCGGTAGACGCCTGCCGGGCGGCGCCGCGTCAGCCGGCGCGTGCTGGTCGGTACGCCGCACCACCGCGCCGCACCATCACACAACTCAACACTCAGCACGGGCATATCGCGGAGACACAACCGTGCCCGCTAATTGTCAAGTGATGTAACGGACGTAGTGGTGCGTGCATGCGTGCGTACAAGCAGCGGCGTTGCCCTGACGCCGAGTGTTTCCACAGCATCTGCGCATCTCGACGCCGGTTGTGGCGTCCACCTACCGGAGAGCGTGCCGACGCTGATGAGCAGCACCTCGACCAGCACGTCCAGCGTCATCTGCGGTCCGAGCACCTGCATGCCAGCGCGCGATGTTGTCCTCGACGTCGGTCAGGTGGCCGGAGGCGAGCGCGTACTGCGCCAGCCGCGTCACCTTCGACATGTCGATCAGCAGTAGGAAGAAGAAGAGCGCGTCCCTGGCGGCCGTCGAGCGTCAGCCGGGGCACAGCCGGACCCCGACCTAGGCCCAGAGTCGAGCTCACGTAGTCAATCCGGGCACTGGCCGCCCTTGGACCAGGGGCCAGGGACAGTGAGCCAGGCCGGGCTTGGTCTGATGGTACGGGGGTCGGGGGGCGGGGAATCGGGTGGCCGTGGGTAGGGGGTACCGGTGTCGATAACCGGAGGGCCGGGGGATAGGTGGTCAGTGGGGGCCGGTGAGAGGGGCGAGGCCGGGGTAGGGGGCCTGCGGTAACTAGGGGCAGACCAGGGGTCGGGAGGCGGGGAGCCGGGGGACGGGGACCGGAGGCCGGGGCCGGGGGCAGGGGCCGGGGCCGGGGCCGGGGTCTGGCCGGGGTGCAAGGGGTCAGGGGTCAGGGTTAGGGTTCGCAACCAGCCCCGATAGCTCTGGCGGAGACGGCGACGCCTCACTACGCCGCACTTGACAGATCCTCGACAAGCCGCGGCTCAACGCATTGTGACTGGGACGTAATATGACGACGATATCCCGACAGTCTAAAGGAAGACCAGACATACACACACACCATCACGCGCAAGCGCCCAAGACCGCCTCGTCATACGAACAACGGGTTTTTACTTTGATATGATGCGGACGTTAAGCTGACAACATCGGCATAATTCACTTACGTGGGGCTTCACAGCAGGGTGCATAAGCGGTCTGGCGCAGCCGATGCATTTTATGTGATAGCTGAAGAGCAACATGATGAGCCGGGTCCACAGCGTAAACACTGTGCTGTCATACCACACCATACCACTAATACTAACACGCAACACACATACTTTGTAAACCGTGCAGTAATGGGCGCGGTTGGGCTGGATCTCAGCGCCGGAGGACTTACTTGAGGTCGGTGAGGTCGCTGTGCATAAAGTTGACGATGCTGGAGGTGAATACGGCCGTCGAGATAACGGTGAAGAGTCCGGCCAGACCTGCAGCGACACAATGACACCGTATCAGCCAGCGCCGTATCGGCCACAATGACACCGTATCAGCAAGCGCCGCGCCATCCCCGCCGGTGCAGGCCCTGGGCGCACACTGACCACGACATCCGCTGGTGCGGGGAATACCCGTCACAAGCCAGCCACCCAGAACACACTCACCAGTGCCGTCTATAAATATCCCCGATCAGGGAACAACCGACGGGACCGCAGGTTCTTACCGTACCAGAACAAACACGGTATAAGTCAACCCGTACCAGAACAAACACGGTATAAGTCAACGATGTCTACCACCGAAATAAGATGAACACTCCTTACGAATTTTCCTCAATGCCCAACCCCACACGCTATCAACACTGATATGGACAATATGTCAGCATGTTTACAACGAGAACTCATCGGCTACTCGGCCAACCTGGGCAGTCCATTAGCGCCCGTTCGTCACCCCTTGTGTGCGTCCGGGCCACCCAGTTCGCCCCATTTGAACCCGTCGAGCAGACGAGCTCGACACGCCGCCGCCGCCTCACGGCGCGCCGCCAGTCGACACGCCCGCACTCACCCAAGATGTACTTCGAACCGAGCGAGCGCAGCTTCCTGAACTGGTGGTACGTGTAGAGGAGCGCGATGCAGCGGACGGCAGTCATCACCACGGCGTCAGCGCCGAAGTACTCCTGCGGCACGGCACGGGCACGGCCGCCAAGCTTAGCTCTACGGCTGAGAGCAGTGCATACTGCTCACTGGCTTCGAACGCCGTGTGAGCTCAACAGAATCAATAAAGCTGCTTAAGTAGATGTCAAAACTGTCCTTACTGTAGGTTTAAAAATATATCATTCACTGTGCCTAACAGCCCAGCTACTTATGTACTCGAGATTATTCCACATAGAGCAATCACACCTGTACATGCAGTGTTCATTTCCAAACGTTTCACCGTGTTCACCATCGATCACCACCAATGGTGCATTCCCATTCCTGTCTGCAACTGCCATAGCACACCTACTGCTGCCTCTCATCAACACCAGGTAATGGTATCAAACTGCCGCCCCACCTGCTGGGTACCACTACCCCCAGAGGTGCCTTTCGGCTGCTGATACCTGAGGTATTTTGCAGCCAGCGCGGTCCCAGCGCTGGAGGGGCGCCTGTCGGTCGTTGACAGTCAGCATGCAGACAGTGAATGTGACAATGGTGACGATGACCTCCCACTGGTGTGAGGCACACAGGTGGCCATGCCGGCGGAAGTATGACGGCAGTGACATGGTCACACGCTCTGCACCACCTGCCGAATGTCAGGATCAATGTCAGTCTGGTAGGCCCACTTCAGAATGATTTAGGGAAGACACTGCAACACATCAGGACCCCCTGCACTTCTGAAATGGGTACATTGAACAGCCTCAGCTGTTTACTTTTGCGTGATTGTACAGCATCATATCCAAAATCTAGATTTGTTTATGAAAATTTTATTAGCATTAATAACATGCCTTAACACCTTCCACATTCTTATATATTATGTTCCTAAAAGCAATTCTTGGATCATATAAGCAATACATGGGATGCTTCTATACTATATGTTGGTGTCTCTCCAGGATGATGTATTTTTCCTAGTGCCTTGGAGCTGCATCACATATTACTTCCTTCCCTTTCTCAGTTCTGGGAGCCTTCTAAGTCTTCACTAGCTGCCAGATCAGCCTCTCTGGCAAGTGGCCCATCAACACTTCCACTTAACTGGGCCAAATACAGTGCATGTTTTGAGCACATTTCAAGCACAACAGTCAGGATTATAGAATGGTCATGAAACCAGCACCACCCAGCTAACACTAACTAGGCCACCCAAAGGACTTCCAAACTCTGTCATTTGTAGAATGGGGAGAAACCTAACTGATAACATAAGCACATTTACTCCAGCACACATACATAGAAAGCAAGTGTATAAAAACATTCATGTTCCCATAGCCTTAAATGGGACCAATGTCTCATGCTGGTATGCAGACAGAGCACTAAAAATTATATACAAACAAAAATTTCCCATTTACACATTAACAATAATTTCCCATTACACTTATAGCCGAATTTGATAGCCAATTAATGTATGATGCTGCAAGGTGAGAGCGACACACTACCTAAGCAAGTTGCTGAGTGCATTTACAAGGACGATTATGCACAATTTCTAGCTCATTGGTGCACACATGAGTGCCTCAGGTGTAACTTGACAACGCAACTAATTTAATTACATAACAAATGCAGCCCTAATCGCACCACAAGCGACTACCTTCACGTGAAGATTCCACCGCATTCTGAATAAGCGACGACACTTCCTTCGTCTGTCTGACGAAATAGTCCATATGTGTCGCAAATGCGCACCTTATGAAAGAGTGCCATATAGAAGATCTATTGCTACCATATTACCATATACGGTTTTTTACGCATAACGCATAACAGCGGCAAAAATATCAGAAATCCGAACATCTTATCCTCTTTCTTGCTTAACCCCGCATCCCGCGACGCCCCGTTTGTAGCAGCCAGGCTGCATGCGTCATCTATTAGTGGGCCAAGAGGCCCCTGGAGTGGACCCCGACCGGATGCCCACCGGGCCAAGCCTCCGCGGTTGGCCCCCAGGAGCATGCAGTTCTACCCCATTGTTATCCATTCCCCTTTATTTCATCGCTATGAAATTATCAGTTCTGGTCAAAAGGGCTCTAATTCAATCAACCAAAAATGTCAATTGAGTTATGCAGTCATGTGCTGACATCGTCTGCACTCCTGTTTCCATTACCAAAAACTGGACGTCTGATTGTCACGAAACCTGTGTCATTATGCTCACAGCGGATATGCGGCCTTGAGGCCACTGTATATCGACGGTCGATGCCTTTCACCACTGGTGTATTTCTCACAAACGCGGACGAAAGTGCATGCCCCATTGTCAAATGGCCGGTCCAGCCACAGTCTACTATTCCATCAGCTGGTGCAGATCACGTGTGCAACCTTGTCATCAGGTCACCGTGGTTAGCTTTTTCTGAGTGGGTGGTTGCTCTCGAAATGACAGTCGCTTTTCGCAGCCATCTCCGATCTGAGTCAGACCTGTCCCACTGTTCCAAAAATCATTGGTATCCAACTCCTAGTGAACCCCTCTCCATGAAACTGAAGCCGTCCAGGAATGTCTTCCGCAAACTCATGGATTTCTGATCGTCGTTGGTAGCCGCAGTTGTTGCAGTGCACACCCAATCGTGCCTGCACCATCCTGAAGACTTACTTCAAATAGATAAGGAATTGTTCGTTTGAAACAGCTGAGTGCCATTTGGCCAGCCCATGAAGAGTTATTGTATTTATTGGTATGATACACGGTGAAAGCACGACGACTTATCCCGGTGATTCATTCGACAACAAACTAAAACGGCTACAGGGCATTTCTATGACCGGTTTAATCGCGCCTTCTATCAAACGCCCAATGTTCTTGTAATATTTCGTAAAATACCTAACAATATTACACCGGTCAGGCAAAAAATGTATGCATGCACAATACATTCACAATAGAATACATACAGCGCAATACAAAAAGTACAGAAAACGCCGCGAACTATTAGCGTTGCAAGCTATGCCTAAAATTATCATCCAAGTAGCGTAATAGCGGTTTTTTGCGAAAGTTACATGCACCATCTGGCAGCATGTGAAAGCCTAGCTCTTGCCTCACATACTGTACTACACCGAACGTCTACGACATATCCATCTTGAACTACACGAACCTATGCTAAGGAGACCGTGCGCAGGCAGACAGAACAACAACACTGTAAAAAGGCATAACGAAGCTCTTGGTGCTGGTGTAACCTGGAGCCACCAATGATTATCTCCGATCGCCTTGCATGGTAGGATAAGATGCTGCCAATTACCAGAGGAAGCAATTTTGTCTATTGCAGTTTTAGGAAGATGGCAAATCTAGGTAAATCGACTAAGAGAAGGTAAATCGGCATGCATGTTTTAGTATTAATAGTGATGGCCAGTTCAAGGGAGCATCCCACCTTAGAAATATACGGGTAGCTGCAAGGCCTATAGTCAGGGAAAAGAGGCTTCCCAAGTAAGAGTGCAAAACACATACTCTTGCCTCCTTGCCTGCCGGAAGGGGAAACTATCACATCTGCAGATCTCCGCATTATATTCAGAAGTGTCAATGTGAAAAACTGCGCTCGAACCTGACTGGAGGGGGGGGGGGCTACAGCCAGAGACCCCCCCCCCCCTCCCCTGGCTGTGTCATTGCATGTGTCCTCAAAACCCTCAGGCGGAGGTACATCAATGGTTTCCCACCCCGGCGAGGATCCAACGGATTTCTTCACCTGTATTTGCTATTACACGCAAGAATATAAACACACATCATCAAACAAACATACGCAAGAATATAAACACACATGTTATTTAGATACACGGCAAAAAGGTGGATTTCTTATGCTGACCTCCGACAGTTATCTTACTTCCTCAACCGACACGCTCCCAACCCGCCATAAGCTGGCAATGTTTGTCGATTTGGTGCGTTGTCACAGATTAAGCTGAATATGCACTTAAATCATGTGTATACAGTGTTTAAGAAATCTGCCATCTGGGAAATGTCCAGCTGTTGATGGCCAGGCGTGCACTAATTCCTACAATAAAATACTGTTAACGCGGCGTAAAAAGTCTGACTGTTAATTCACTCGTTAACAACGGAAATCATGTGCCAACGAAAAGGCTGAAACACGTCTGCAGGAACATGTAAGCTCCCATGAGCTGCCGGCTCTCGTTAGATTGGCCAACAGCGGTGAGACTGTGATGCCACACCACCGGCGGCGCGCGACTGAGCGCAAGGTCGGCCGAACCGGGGTGGCCCCAGTCCCGCCGTCGGTGCCTGTTTATCGCGGCGGCGGTCGCTTCACTTTCCATTCGGGCGAACAGTGCCTGAGGCGGTCGGCGTGTTATTCTCCTAGCCGTCCCGTCTCCCGGATGTGCGGTGGCTGGGAGCGGAGGGTCGGTTTCTCTGCCCGCGAGCTGCCGGCAACAGCACGTGACTGGTGCGTGAGCAGCCGCGCAGCTGGGTCAGGGTCGAGTCGTGGCGGCACTGTCGACGGCCCGCGGCGGGAGGCGCTCTCAAAGGTCCCGCCCGAGGGAGGGCCACGCCGGCACGGACAGGCACCAGAGGTTTCCTTCAGAGACGTGACCCCGTTGGAGGTCCACGCAGGCACGCAAAGGCGCCGCAGATACCCCTAAAGCCCCAATCCGAGGAAAGTCCCCACCGGCGCGGGTTTCTCCGTGTCTGAGCAGTTGTCCGATCAAATGGAGCTATGAAATCCGAATCACGTGGTTTCCTGGCAGTTCTAACAGCCATGAACGGTTTGTTTTAAAGGGAATGTCCCACATTTTAATGTGTTGAGGCAAGCATAAGATTCGTGGATATAGTTCGTGTGTAACCGTAGGTGTACCTATAAGTGTAAAAGATGTCTCTATTTAACGAAATTGCATAGTTACATAGTATGCTACTTAATACGACATCGTTTGATTACGTCATGGAGCGTCTTCATGACGTCAGAACCGTTGCCAGAGTTGCCGCGTCAGAGTTGCCGCTGTAGCGTACGGTGTGCCTCACTCGTGGTACTTACATGTGCCGCAAGATATCGTCGTTGGTTGAAGCGCATAAAGTCCATCCACGAGCGTTTTGTGAATGCGCATTGGCCTTTCCTCGTGGTGTATTTGCGCATGTGTCCGTGACGGTGTGTTCTTTACCTGACCTGCATGTGTACTTAAAGTTATAACACTATTCTTATACTCCATCCTCAACCTCGCGTCTGTCATGTCAAGCCGTTGCGCAGACGCCTGTGTCATTTATGGCAAAACGTGGTTTGTGGTCGTCTTTCCATTCTCATTTGTTCAGTCATGACTAGTACTACTGCCTAAATTCCCGCATAATATATGGCACAAAATGTGATTCCTACTCGAAATTTGCACTCAACGTAATACATTGGTTGAAGACGAACTACTGCCCCTTGATAACATGAATCGCGGTGACGAATTTCGACAACAGTACGACATAATCGGCAAGACTAATTTATGGTCCTGTTTTGCTCGCCCTTGAGCACTACATGGCCATTGAGTTGGTGGCGTTCGAGTGACGTTTCTATGACGTCATGCATATCTAGTAGAATTCCTTGTGACCTTGAAATGGGCAGCACAAAATAATTTTCCTAAGCTTGCGTGCATCAAGCTAAGGAACAAGAGAGTTTGAAGGCATGACTGTGAGTTTTGAGCTGTGAACAATTTTAA